TGCAGATTTGGGACTGGTGCATACCGAGAGGTATCACTCTTCTAGCAGTTCATCTTGCAGGCACGGAAAATACAGACGCGGATCTCTTGAGCAGACATATGTCGCGGTCACACGAATGGGAGCTAGACCATCGGGTTCGCAACACGCTATTTCACCGATGGGGCCAGCCAGACATCAACCTGTTTTCCACACAACAGAACAAGGCATGCACAGCCCCGTTCCAGAGCGGGGATGGGTCAGGTCTCGCTCGGGGACGCTTTCATGATCCCCTGGACAAATATGACTTTTTATGCTCTCCCTCTGATCCCACTCATCATGAGAGTGTTGGCAAAGATCATTCACGAAGGGGCCACAGAGCTACTGATCACCCCCTGGTGGCCACGCCAGCCATGGTTCTCAACTCTCCTTCATGTCTCCCGAGAAGAATTTCTCCAACTCCCTCTTCTTCCTTATCTCGTTATCCAGAGGGAGGGCATGATCCGCCACCCAGACTTGCTGTCGCTGAAACTGACTGCATGGAGGATACGATGACCAGCTGCGATGCACCGGTATCGACGCCACCAACCATCCCTGCCATTCCTGCTCTGCAGAGTCTACACCCAGACCTACAGTATATTCTCGAATCTGCGCTACGACCATCTACTAGGAAGTCGTATGCAGCAAAATGGCAGAGATTCTCTAACTTTGCCAATTTACACTCGTTTCCGGCCCCCTCGGCTTCTGTTTCACAGATCCTTCAGTTTCTCTTTGAATTGCATCAGTCTGGACTCAAACCTTCGTCCATAAAAGTTTATACAGCAGCGATTTCACATTACCGGGGAACTATACATGGCCTCTCCATTTTTGCTCAACCTCTGATTAAAAGATTTTTGAGAGGATTGAGTCATCTGCATCCAACTATAAGACCTCTAATGCCCACCTGGAGTCTTTCGATGGTTTTACAAGTGCTGATTCGATCACCTTTCAAACCCATGGCGACGATTGATCTACGCCTTGCTTCATGGAAGACTGCCTTCCTTGTTGCAGTGACTTCAGCTCGTAGATCCTCGGAACTCTGCGCCCTTCGGGTTGACCCCCCTTTTCTAAATTTTCATAAGGAAAAAGTGGTTCGGCTGGATCCGTCTTTCCTTCCAAAAGTCGCTACTTTGTTTCACATGCAACAGGAGATTGTTTTACCGGCATTCTTTCCGACCCCTTCTAATCCGATAGAGCGATCTCTACATATGCTGGACGTTCGTCGTTGCTTAGCCTTTTATAGGTCCAGGACTGAGTCTGTTCGGCGTTCCAATAGACTTTTTGTGAAATATTCGGAACATGACCGAGGCTGTCCAATCACTTCACAGCATCTTTCGAAATGGATAGTAAATACAATTGTCCTGTCTTATCAGTTAGCTAAGTTGGACTTGCCATCTACTCCAAGAGGTCATTCTACAAGAACTGTTGCTGCTTCTTTGGCCTTTGCATCAGGGGTGCAGGGAGGCCATTTGGGCTACCCCGTGTACCTTCGCCAGACATTATAGACTCGATGTCCATGCCAGGCAGGATTGCTCTTTTGGCAGAGCTGTCCTTTCTTCTGTCCTTCGCTGATGACACCTCCCTCCTCCACTTGGGGTAATCTTGTTATTCTACCCATATGTGTGATGCCCAGAGGCCTCGACGAAGAAGAGCAGGTTGCTTACCTGTAACTGATGTTCTTCGAGTGGCCATCTGTGCAGTCACACAACCCACCCTCCGACCCCGCTTGGTGTCATGGGTGGTCCGACTATTTTCTTTCGATACTATGATCTCTTTGCTATGTGTCGTACCACTACTGAATTGGGCTATATTGTCATACTGACAAACCTTATTATAAAAACAAACGTCAGTCTTTCAAAGACTGGAAAATGGCGGACAATCCGCTCCTTATATAATGCTAGGGGGGAGGGGGAGCAGAGTTCCCGCCAAAAACTGTTAGCTGTTAATCTTCCGGCCAAAGGCACTGTGCAGGCGCAGAACCCATGTGTGACTGCACAGATGGCCACTCGAAGAACATCAGTTACAGGTAAGCAACCTGCTCTTCTACCCTCCCTGTCGTCTTCCTGTGTGCTACTTTCCTAATGCCCACCCACAACTCTGGAATCTCAGTGAGAATGGGGAATTGCTGAGGGGCAAACCCAGGGGTGAAGAGGAGGAGGAGGAGGAGGAGGAGGCAGCAGCATTTTATACAGGAAGGAGCCGTGCATGCTGGGACTGATGTTCAGCTGTGGGGGTTGATTGAATTCCAGCTGCCATTAGAAGGAAAGATGGAGAAGAAAGGATACCATGTGACTGTCTGAACCAATGACCAAGGTAAGACACCACAGTGTGATAACCACATGGCATGGTGTAGTGCTACATGTGAAAACAACCTATGCCTCCATCATTGCTTTTGCTCTCTTCATATGGAGGGGGCCTTTGTGAAGAATACCTTCTGTGCCTGTGGGTTATCCACACAATTCAGAAAACTGATTTTCTAGTATTCTAGAACACATGAAGAGATCCCATGAGTTGCTCTTCACATTTAGAAGTTGACACCCCACTTTTACTCTCCTTGGATTTAGAATGCATGAAGGGGGCCATATGTAGATATAGAAATGCAGAGATTATAGTATTCATAAGTTCAGATACATTCTTGCCAGTGAAAGTTAATGCTCCATGCATCTAATGAAACAGGCTCATAGATGCTTATGCCATAATAAAATTGCTTGCCTTTAAAATGTAGCAAGACTCTTTCTTGTTTATCATGATTCACTATAATCTATGTAATCTTTTGATGCCTGGAGTGCCCAAGGGGAGACAAGAACAAGAGGTACCTTTAATTTTGTTTTTCATTTTCACCGTGGAGATTCCAGAACAGGGTTTTATGGTTCTCAAATTAAAAAGGACTGAACTAATTTGAAAAGCAGTTCCCACATTTGAGAGGAAAGAGCTATAGACCTCCTTAAGTTTAAAACAAATGAGAGGAGTGTTTTGTGATATTCTTGTCTTTTCACAGACTCTCAACAGGATAGCTCACTTAAACTCCAGTGTGGAAGATATGGAGATTAATACTTCATGAGTTGTCACACCTTTTGTTATGGAAGTTCTGCTTCCTAATCTTCCCCATACCTGAAGACACTGATAGCTAGTAAAAAAAGACCAATCTGTAGAAGTCCACATGCATTTATTAGACCCAGAACTAAGCCTCTAGAGCTAATACCAAACCCCTGTGAGCCCTGCTTAGATCAGGGTTAGATATTTTGTTATCTGAAGTGTGGAACAAGGACTGGGAAGATTCAAATCCCCATATAGCCATGAAGCGCACTAAGTGATCTTTGGTCAGTTACTACTCTTGAACCGTACCCTACTTTGTAGGGTTGCTGTAAGATTAAAATACTGAAATAGTGCTGTGTACACCTCTTTGATCAGGAGCAGCAGTATATGGCTGCATAGCCCTGGGAAAATCTCCAAAGGATCTCTGGCCCTAGATTCAAGTCTAAGATACTGCCAGTCCCAAACTGATGGGCTTGGAGTCTTGATCTTGATTTTAAAGTACATGCAAGAAAAGGAAAAGTGCACTTTAAAATCCAAACTGTACTTTCCTTGAGAGAGAGAGAGATCAGATCAGCAGCAGCCTCTACAGATTGGCTAAAAAAAAAAAGAGTTCAGAGAGAGAAAGCACTTTGTGTAATTATGCTGAGTATCACTCTTCCCACTACCTTTTCATTTTCCAGGCTGCAGCGAGCTGCTTTCACCAAAGCCTCAAGAAAGTTGCAGGGCTGCCTGCTGTACCTTTGATGGAAATATGAGTTGGTGTGGATGAGGATGCAACAGCACCCTTTTGCATTCAGGCAAAGGGAATGATGGTGGCAGCTTCAGGCCTGCCATCCCCTTTTTTGTGCAAGATCCTAGATTTTGAGGATTTGCAGCCATTTGGGACTGTCAGAAGCATCTCAACAATTCCTATCTACCTCTGTTTGTGGTGTTCCTTCCTTTCATTCAAGGAAAAACATGCATCAAGCTGTTTTGCTGGCAAACACAGGTATGTTAATGGTTGGGGTCTGTTTATTGACACACAATGCAAAGGGTAACTGTTTCTTTCATAAATAAGATTTGCCCCTGAAAGATTCAGATATCCTGCTGGTAATAAAACAAAAACACAGTCCTATGGATGTTTAGACCAAAAAAGTCTTGTTACTCCCTAGCCAACCATAGGATTTTTTTCTGCCTGAGCAGGAACAGGTTTGCTTGCTCAGTTTTCTCCTTCCTACTCCACTGCCCCAAGATCAGTTTTCCCTGAATTTGCTGCAGTGCTTTGGAATTTACTGTTGTCCTTGTACTCAAGCAAAAAACTGGTTTGCCCATAAAGTGTCCCACAACTGGGGTCTTTTGAAAAGCCAGCTTCTTGAAAAGTGATGTGAAACCTTATATATGTCTAGTCAAAAAAATTAATGATAATTATTCCAGTGATGCTTACTCCCAGGTAAATATGCATAGTATTGCAGTCTAAGAAAAATGGGGAAATGAGGAAGGAAGGAGGAATAAATGAAGTCCTTGCAGTAATATAGCGTGCTACTGCAATGTTTGTGTTGTAATCCTATCCCTCCATTAACTCCAGTTAATGGAGTAGCAGACATATGTTGCTTGCACTGTTACTCATTTAAAGGCTATGTGTATAATTGTCTCTAAGCACGTGCAGAGTGTTTTCCTTCAGTGCTTCATTACTGCATTCCAGTCCAACACATAAGACTAGTGAACCAGATGTTGGGGAAACCTATGTGTAGAATTACAGCAGCTCATTTTATATTTTGTATTTTCACACGTAAGGCACGCGCATCTTCCTGCCTGTAACAAAATAAAAAGGATAATCCAGCTGAGGGCGCCAAAGGGATTTCAGGGGAAAGAGCGTTGCTTGTTGAGCCCCCCGGCCCGCTCCTTTTGAGCTGCTGCTCTTCGGCCGGCCGGGGGACGGCGCTGTGTCACCGCGGAGCACTCAGGCCTACCCTTTTCTCCGCCTCTCAATCCTACCCAAGGCCTGTTCGGATACCGCCGCGGCGACAGCGCTGGCAACACGGAAGAATGAGGCGGATACTGTCGTGAGGTAAAGGAGGGCTCTAAGCCCGCAACGTAGACTGTGGGGAGCCCGATGACGGGAAAACGGGGGGAAGGGAAGCCGGCCACACTGTCTAGCTACTTCCCCTCTTCATGCCCCACCTTCAGTCGCGGCGGGATGAGCGAGCGAGGCCTTATTTCGCCCCCATTAGAGGCCCAACGGGGAAGGAAAAAAGACGGCTTCCTGTCCGCTTAGGCTTGTCCTCTTTCTCGGAGTGGGCGTCATGCTTTTGCTTTTTACAGGTGGGAAGCTGATTCAATAGCCCTACAGCCACCTCCATATCAGCTTCAGATCAGCTTTCCCCAACTTCTTGTCCTGCAGATGTTTTGGACTTAAACTTCCATCAGCCACAGCTAGTATGACCAATGGTCAGGATCGCTGGAAACTGAAGTCTGAAACAACAGCAGGTTGAGGAGGGCATAAGATGTTTCGCTTTACTTAAAATATAAGGGTGCTCCCCTTCCTCCGTGCTTTGCAATTGCTATAATAATAATAATAATAATAATAATAATAATCGGAAAGACAGAAATGATAGGACATATGTAGAGTATTACATTTTTAAAAACCCAAAATCCACAGTTAGGCAATACTTTTGTTAGGACAATCAAAGCACTACAAAATATAATGCAGGTTCCTTAGTTTTCCAAACTCTTCCCCATGCTAGCTTGTGGAAGAAACACATTTTAAACATTCAGTTAATTCATCATAACCCCAGGAACATTGCAGAGTTTATTCTTAGTAATGACTTTCTTACAGGGGTTTTTGTTCAAAAAGCATATATGCTATGGCTCTTTTAACCAGATGATGCATTTAAGAACTGGTTTTAATTTAATTGTTAAACATGTTATGTAGATAACCATATTGTAATTACAATTCTGAAATTATTGCAGTTTTCACATAGGTATATTGTAGAGATGGAAAAAAGTCCTATTTTAAATTTGACTTTGTTTAAAAAGCCCTTTAATTCACTGCCAACTTGGAAGGGAAGAGTAAAGCTGAGTACTGGCCTGTGTAAAAATGTATAAGGTCCCCTCGTATTTAAAAATAAATTTGACTCGCTTGTGGTCAAAATTTCCACTCTTTCAGCATCTTCCAGCCAGTTGGGATGCTGGGAGTTACAGTTTAATGCTGATGGGCACCAGGTTGGGGATTGTTGCTTTAATATGTTTACTGCTGGGGAAAACTGGTATAAATACATCTCTGATAAACATGATTAGTATTTGGTTACATGATTGGTTTTTTTTCTTGTCTATATTCATACATATATTGTGCACTTTGAGCTCTTCTGCCATGCTTGATAAACTTTTCCTAATACTTTGGCTACCTCAGAGTTCTTTCCATTATGAAAGAGGCAGAGGATGGGAAATTTCTTACACTGATGAGTCAATAAAGCACTGCTTTTTAGTGCTGAAAAAGCATACAATAAATGGGTCAGTCATGATGCTTAACTGTTTACTCTTACTAGTCCTTTCCAGAAGGCTTGAGGAAGGGTAATAATAAAACTGAAACATTATCAAGGTTTCTTTGTCTGCGGTGTGTGGTCTGAGTCTTTAGTATCAGTTATCTGAAGCTATTTTCTAAAGACAGACAACTCTTCATGAGTATATAACTTAGCATCTGTGGTAGAACCTTGCTGACAGGCTACTTCAGAAAGCAGAGTTTGGGTCAGCATTCTGTGGCCCTTCAGATGCTGATAAACAACATGTGTGTTGTTTATCAGCAACACCCATCATCCTTTTCTGGGGTGATGGAAGTTGGAGTCTAACATAATTTGGAGAGCCACAGCTTGTCCATCCCTGGAACAGTTGGTGGGTTTTCTGTGGCTCATGCCATTCTGTGAGGCCCACAGAACTTGCCCTGTCCAGATTCACCAGCTATCTAGCTGATCAACGGGGAGCATAGTACAGGTGGCTGTTTCCCTGCTGCTAATAGCAACAAGGAAAGCATTCTCTTTCATGAGCAATGGGATGTGCATGAGAGCTTTAAGACTCTCCAATTCCCCAGCAATCCTTCTATCATTAGGGAGGAAACAATGCTGTGGGAACAGTGGGAGAGGCTTTAAACTGTCCTTCCCAGAGAATGCTGTTTTCTCAGCACTAATAGCAGTAGGAACCAACAATATGTGGGTGTGAATGAAAAGGCTTAAACCTTTCTACTGGCACCCAAGGAAATAGTTACATGAATCTCCCCATCTCCTGAATTCAGTAGACAGGGAAAGGTTTTAAACTCATCCTTGAGTACTGAGGTTTCTGCATGCCCTTGAGAGCTCAGGCTCTAGTTTAGATTGTTGATGTGCAAGCCCACCACATTTGCCCTTCAGAAAAAAATAGTTGCTGACCAGGGTGTAAAATAATGCTTATTTAGTTAGGATGTTAGTCGTTGCAATTCTGAATGTTTCTTTTACTTTGCAAAAGAGTATCAAGTGTCTCAGAGACTTTTATGAGAAATTCAATGCCTTGCACAGAGCAGCTAATGACTTTACCATCAAATTTGAATTTCTTCTGAACCATTACCTACAGTGATTGTTAACCCTAACTGGCAGAGGCTGTTGTAAGCCTAAAATATCACTCTGCTATCTTTGGAAGAATAGAGGACTGGTGCTGTAGTTATCAATAAAAAGGAGTATCTTAAATGAAAATGTTCAGCTAATAAGCAATATAATCTAGATGCCGCTATCACAGAAGAGGAATGTGTAAAAGTAATACATTTGTGATGGTTCCTGGTAGAAAGATGTTTTGCATTCTACTGCTGAAATGAAACAGTTGTTAGTCTAATATTCTTTAAGGTATCCAGTATAGTTCTGGGAATGAGCAACACCAGACATTGTAAAGCCTGATAAGTAAACCAAAATTTTAATTTTGTATGATCAGGCACAGCCTGACTTGAATAGCATCTAATTTCTGATTCCTGCTGAATTTTCTGGTTGTAGGTTAATTAATTCCAATGTGAAGATGAACTAATGAAGCAAATTCCAGACTGGGAGATGTAGGTGATTGGCTGATGTGAATACTGAACAGCTGGCAACTTAAATCAGTGGTAGTGTTTTCACACTGAATTGATCAGAAAGATGAAATGTGGACTTCCAACTATTTTATCAAAGTTAAAGACATCTAGTAGTGAGTCAGTATTTGCATCTCCCTTTAAACCCTTGTTTCTGGATGTCACACAATTTTTGTAATATCTGTAGCATCAGGTGTTGTATTTGTTCGGCATTTCATGTGTTAAGTGCATCACAATACCTTATTATAGCTATTCTAGCAATAATTGATTGATGCTAGGGATAAGCTTGCCCTGATGCTGGGAATGAATGAAGGCAAAAGGAGAAGAGGATGGCAGAGGTTGAGGTGGCTGGATGGGGTCACTGGAGAGGTGGGTGTGGGCTTGGGTGTACTCCGGGGGATGGTGGAGGGCAGGGAAACCTGGAGAAATGTTGTCCATGGAGTCGCAAAGAGTCAGGCATGACTTTGCAACTGAACAAACAAAACAAAGTAATAATCTTGAGAAGTTGAGAATGTTTTATGAATGCTTTAAAAAAGAGCCAAATTATAAAGTGTCTTCCACACAAACCAAGATTTGGGAACTATCTTGGAGTATGAAATAATCCTAAATTTTCTGAAATTACTTTGGCTATACCCAGGGGGTGCATTGAAGGAGGAGGCAGAAGGAGGAAGTACTCAGGCTTGTGGCTTAGTGTGTTGGCTGAACTGGGTCAATGAGACTTAGTGGTAGAACAAGTTGCTTTTTACTTTTACTTCCTCCTGAAAATCTATATTGAATTGTTTTGTGCCAATCATCTTTATTTCCTAGTATTTTGTGCCCTATAAATTGTTTCTCACCAGCCTTGAAATTTTTCCAGCTTAGAAAAATTATTTAAACCAGAGGCGTAGTTGAGCAGAACAAAGTAACATAAATGAGAAAAGAAGTCTTTTAAAGATGATCAATCTGTGTTCAACAATCAGACATTTGGCAATGTTTCTTTTAATTCTAAATAGATATTGATGAGATATCTTGCTAGCCTTGACAAATAGCAAAAAGAAGAAAAATAGTTTTAACATTTTTAAAGCATAGCAAACTTTAGAGGTATTTGTACAGATTTCAGCCTTCTCAGTCTGGGCTATACAACAACTAAAATGTAATGTTGAAGCTTTAGCTTTGCACAGATAACCTTTTATTTGGGAAAGAAAAATTATTCTGAGAACAGAGCTTTCAGAACTGTAGATGGAAACTAAAGAAAAGTTAATTGTGAACAAGAATTTCAATCAAAATGGAAAAAATAAAACCATGAGGAGCAGTAGTCAACACCTTATTACTCATGAACACTGAAGGGGTTTTTTAGCATTTTCAAATGGGAACTTTCAGCAAAAAGCCTCCACTCTCTTAGTCCCTGTAGCACAACTGTATTATTCTACAGTATAGGCTTTGGAATGTAGTCAAGTGAACATTATGCAAAACCATTTTGAAAAAATTACTAGAGGAAAGTATACTGTAAAGTTTGTTCTCATAACACATTTGGTGAAATACCAGGAGAATAGGTTTGTAAAAGATAAATTTGCTATTTGTCCATCAACTACTGTCACTAGATAACTATAATATAAAATCCATGAAGGGTTAAAATGATATTGTAATACAACTGAGATTAATCCAGACTTAGTCATCCTTTAGGGCAGAGTCACTGAAATTAATGGGAATTAGTTATGACTACAAGAAGAAATTGATTGGAAGGTAATGTGCTGATTGCAAATTGTTCTGTTCGACATTAGTTTTAGATATATCTCTGTGTTGTATGTTTACATGTTTGTATGCATATAGTTCTATACTGCATTTTAAAGGTTTTAATCTTTGTAAACTACCCGGAGAACTTTGGCTGTTGGGCAGTATTGAAAGGTAATAAATGAAATTATTAGAGTATGCCTATTAATATTGCATATCTTGGGAATAGAAATTAGTTTGGCTATTATGTATTCATGTTCCTTTTTGAATTTTTGGTTGTGCTATATCAGCCTTTCCCAACCTGATGTTCTCCAGATCTTTTGGACTTCAACTTCCAGTTCCAGCCAGCAGGACCAATGATCAAGAATGCTGTGAGTTACAGTCCAACACATCTCAAAGACAGCAGGTTGGGGAAGTCTATGGTAAATTGTCCTATTGAAACATGTTTGATTTTTGATAAATATGAAATGATCTGTGTGTTTACCTTACAGTGGCTATCAATAGACATGTTTTGTGTGAAGCCACTTTTTTTTTGCCCAGAAGAAACACTAACCACAACAATTTATAACTATCTCTTTCAGTTTTAAAAGTGAGAATTTCATAACATTGATGTGCATCAAAAAACTTGGAAAAAGACTTAACTGCATGTTTTAAATTATTCTTTCTTTCTTTCTATTCTAGGAGTGCTATTTTTGATCTGGATGTATGGTTTGTAGAAATGACTTTCTCTTGTACTTGACATAACCAGCATCATGTGAACAAAATAAAACACAAAGGAAAATGCCAAAGAAAAAGAAAAATCTAGGTGTGAGCCCATCAAGAAAGAACATAAATTCAGAGACAGTTACAGCTACTGCTTCTGGCTTGGTACCCCCTCCAGTAGATTTAGCAATGTCTCAAACACCATATGGAATTGATAAAGAAAAACTCATCAGCAATCTTTCAGAAATGTTTTCTGATTTGGATCCCACTGTCATTTACATGGTGCTGTCTGAATGTGATTTCAAAGGTAAAACAAATCTTGTTTTTCTCATCTCTTTTTGTTTGGTGTGATGATGTAGATTTTCCAAGGGAGGGAAGCTAATTGAATTAGTCTATCTGTGTGAGCTATATTTAGTAAACAAAACTAAAAAAAGTTCCATTTTAATTTATTAGGTGTATAAATGCCACAGAAGTTTTTCTAATAATTGAACTAAAGGATCTGATCAGGAAAAAATAAAAACACATTTAAATTATATTACTATGCATATTTAAACAGAAAAAATCATGCATTTCCAAATGTGGAAGAATTTTCATGGAAAACCCAGCATGGAAGAGAAACTAGAACTTCCTGTTTACTGACTATCTGCTCTGCTAGTCAAGGCTAACATCATATGCTGTTTTTAAAAAGTTTGTCTGTCAAATTAGGGGGTGCTGGTAGGTTTGTTCATACAAATTGCACTTTCTCAAATCTGTTTTCCTGTGTTTAGTGTTAATTTTGTGCCAGACTTCATTTATTCTTTCTCTGGAATTTTGGGGTTCATAATACCACTCTTCCTCCAAGATCTCTAACATTGATAGGGTTACACACAATAGTATTTTTAAAATATATAAATAACCTGAGTTGTCATAGAATGCAGTTAGTACTTGTCCATAAACTCTGTGATTCATCTAGCTTGTTGAAAGGCTTTTTTCATGATTGCAATTGATTTTTCTTATTTTTTTATCATATTGGTTACATATTGATTTTGTGTTTACCTAATGGATACTCTCTTGTCCTTTACGCTTGGGTTTAAGATTATTGTGCTAGCATGGCTCCTATAGGCATTTGAGATTACACAGTAAATTACATTGTTCTCAGTAGGATTTATTTCAGAATAGATATGCATAGGATTACATGGTTGACCCTTTGATCAATTAAATTTAGCTCTTAATCTCTGGTGTTTGGCTAGAGAAATTATATGTACTTGTTAATGGCTCTTGTCCTGATTTTATTAGTAGTACACGACATTGATTTAGTATATAATTGCACTGCATGGAGCAGTTCTGCTCCTACTTTGGTGGCCAGGTCCAGAAAATGGTGCTTGTGAAATGTTCAGCCACATCCTAAGGTGTCAGTTTTGTCTCCCATGCTATTTAGCATCTAAATGAAACTGAGTGGGATAATATGGAGTTTAGAGTGCATTGCCATTAATATGTCGATGACACACAGCTCTACTTCCCTTTTCCATCTCCTTCAGGTGAGGCTATAGATGAGCTGAACTAGTTTCTGGGTGTAACAATGAACTGGATGAGGGCTAACAAAATGAAGCAAATCCAGACAAGGCTGAGATGCTGTTAGTAGGTGGTTCCTCTGACCAGATAGAGGATGTTCAACCTGTTCTGGATGTGGTCACACTCCCCTTGAAGGGACAGGATTGTAGCTTGGGTCCTCTTCCAATGGTGGTCCAAGTACTCCCCTGTATGGACAAAGATAGTATGATTTCAGTAATTTTCATTCTGGTAATCTGTTCACTGCAATGCACTCTTTGTGGGGCTGTCCTTGAAGACTGTTCAGAAGCTGTAGCTTGTGCAACTGTGGCAGCCAGACTAATAACTGTGACTAAAAGGTCTAAATGTATAACACAGGTTTTGGCCTGCTTGCATTATACTTCAAAGGCCAGTCCAGAGTGCTGCTTTTACCCTATAGAACCTTACATGGCCTGGGACCGCAATACTTAATGGAATGTCTCTCTTAATTACACACTATGTTCAATACCTGAGGCCTTTCTCTGGCTTTCAGAACAATAAGGTCAACATAGGAGGTCCATCTAAGGGCCACCACCAAGGGTGGCTTGGAAGGCAGCTATAACAGGGAAGGCTATCTCAATGGCAGTGAAATCCTCTTTCCACTAGGGCCTGCCTGATACTTTATCATATTTTATCATTTGGTGTGCAGTTAAGACAGTCATCTGTGTTGGGGCATTGAAAGATATTTAAAGTTTATTTAATGGCTTGCAGAAGGAAGCCATGTCAGGTGTTTTTAACAGGTCTGCTCAGTCTGTTGCTAAATTGACTAATTTTTTAAACTTTTTAAATTTTGCAATGGTTGTCCTTACGGTGTTATATCTTGGTTTTAGGAACTGATATAAATTATCCATAGGGTTTTGGCTATTGGGCAGTATAGAAATGAATTAAATAAAAATGATAAAATTAATTGTGAGTTCATGATGCAAGTGAGTTCATGATGATGTGATCACATGCTTGATTTTAGACATGTGGTTAAATTCAATTTACACTGATGGAAGTCTGCTGGCGTGATGGGACTTTCTCCCTCTCCCACCCTAACCCCAACCCCTACCCTAACCCCAACCCCTTTGCAGACCTCCAAACCAGCTGGGAATCTACTCTAGAAGGTTTTCCAGCCCTTCTGTCAGCAGAACAGTGCAATTTGGTTTAACCATAATCTTTAGATCAAACTGAATTAGAAAGTAACTCATAATAGATCCCTATGTGATCAAAATTTCTCATAGTTATCCCAGTTAGCTTAGGTGCTCCTTAGGTGGCTGAAATGGTGAAGAAAAGATTATATTCCATATATGTTTGTACAGTGTTCCTAATAATTTTCTAAATTTAGTATCCCTTCCATCAACTATGTTCTTTTCTTGTTTAATAGTGGAAGAAACTATGGATTATCTATTAGAATTGTCCACACCTGTTAAGGGTATAACATCTTCATCAGAAGTCTCAGGTTTTGATTCCATATCTGCATCACTGGTTGGTGAAAATAAGTCACATTCTGTTGAGGGCCAAAGTTCTGCTATTAAAAGAGTTGTGAAAGCTAGTGAAGAATCAGAAAAGTCTTTGTCATCTGAAGAACTAGTTTTCTTGCTACATAATCCTTTTGGGAAACATAATCTAAATAATGAAACAAGGAATACAGAAAATGACTGTGTCTCAGGTAATATGTCTCTGTCCTTGGACTGTAGTAGTTCTGATTGTGTTAAGGAATTATCTGACTCTGCAAAGTCTACTTCAGATTATAATGCTGCGCTTTCTTCACAACAAATTGAAACAGACATTAATATATTAGAAACCTGCTTTGCTCCATTAAATCCAGATTGCTACAGAATCTCTGAATTGTTTTTTGGAAAACCAAGCATTCAGGCCAAGGATAACCCATTAGATAATGTGGATAATTTTGCACAAATCCCAGAGAATTGTAGTTTGCCTGAAGTAGTACTTGACAGTGCTACAGTTCCACTAGTGAACACCGAAGGATCTTGTACTGATCCAGGTCAAATGCAAAATGTTTTTTTGGACCTTACAACAATAAATGGCATTCCTGCTCAACAGTGCCAGGGACTCGTTGATTTTGAAACAAGTGCATTTGACCATTTTAGGCCTTGTTCACAGGATACTGAAAAACAGGAGAATGTAGTTACTGTTTGTAATGATCCTGAAAACACTTCTGTTCCTGACTTATGTGCAGGATCTAATTTCAAATTAGCAGCTTTATCAAATGTTGACCAGCCTCATCCACAATTTTCTACCCTTTGGAAACATTCTCAAAAGCCTACCTTTTATCCTGCCTTTTATCCACAAAGTACACGTCATAGTTTTGTAACTCCAGTTGCAGTCAGCCCTGGGAAGTGGAGCCCTGCTTCAGATTACAAGAATCTTGGGAATATGTGCTCCTCTCAAGCATTTTCACAGTCCCAGGATGGCAAGTTTTCTCTCCCAAAGACATGGGGAAATAAAGATGGAAGCCAAAAAATGAATTTTTCTCAAGTACAGCAACTTTCTGGTTGTCACATGATGAGAAGAAAGACTCCTTTCATAGGTCATGTTCTTGTTCTTCTTAGAGGAGCTCCAGGATCAGGCAAATCATATTTGGGAAGGTAGGTTAATTGTATCATGTTTTAAAAATGTGGATATTTTTTCACTCTCATGCATTAATTGTGGCTTTGTGTTATGTATGTGCACAGATATAAACCATGTTTTTTTATAACTGTAATTTGCAAACCCACTTCAAGGCAAAATTTCATTCTCTAGTTTATGAAGGAGCTGTTGCTTTGTATCAATGAAAGGAGAGGAGTCCTGATTAGCAAAACATAGATATAGGGAAGTTGGACTTTTATTTATCTGCTGGACAGCAAAGGTGCAAGCATCACAATGTGGGATTGTGATAGCTAAAAATGATTAGCCCTCTTTTGCATTGCTGACATTAGAAAGGAAGAAATAATATCTAAAATGTCTGCTAAGATTCAGTTATATATGGAAATTAAAACAATGGGTCTTTTCACATGTAACAGAGACAAATCATAGGCTAATTAACTCATGAACCCAGGCATTACAGGTTAAATTATGGAATGTCATAAGCTACACTTAACTCACAGTTATGACCATGTTTCCCCAAAAATAAGACCAGGTCTTATATTTTTGCTCCAAAAGACACATTAGGGCTTATTTTCAGGTGATTTCTTACTTTTTATGTACAACAATCTACATTTATTCATGTACAAAATCTACATTTTTCATGTGCAAAAATCTACATTTATTCAAATACAGTCAAGTCATCTTCTTCTGGAACATTGTCATAACTCTTCAAACCCTGATTTGTGTTGCAACAGATGTACAGAATGCGTCTGTCTGGCTGATGATCTTAACTAGGGCTTATTTTTGGGTATGAGCATCCTGAAAAATCATGCTAGGGCTTATTTTCTGTTTAGGTCTTATTTTTGGAGAAACAGGGTAGTTACTAATTATAGGATAATTTATTCTACAATTACCCTACAGTGCCTGGGTTTAGACATCCAATAGTAATCCCTGATTGGTCCAGGTCTGACCTGAATATTCAAAATTGCTGCAGAATGTGCCTGATATGCACATGGAAAACTAACTTGGTTGCAAACAAAGTCAGTGAAAATTATAAAAATGGCACCAATTTTGCTTTAAAACATCCATGATATTTCCATTGCAGAAAATGAATTCATCTTTATGATTTCCATTTCTTTAAACTGAAACCCCGGTTGTGTATTCTAATGTTTAAAAATAAGTAGTGATTTGCGGGGGCTGCAAGAAACAACTGATCTTGATTTGTTTCATAATTTTTCACAGGACTTTGCTTGAGGATAACCCTGGTGGAATCATTCTTAGTACAGATGATTACTTTTACCAAAAAAATGGCCAGTATCAATTTGATGCTGATCTTTTAACTGAAGCACATGAGTGGAACTGGAAACGTGGTAAGAACTAGATGTTCTAAAAGTATGGCTGCTTAACAATAGGAAATCTATGAATGTAGAATGCAAAAGACTTCCTAGGGTTTTTGTGTCAAAATTAACACTGCCTGTGTTAGAGCGCAATCCTATGCATGTTAGACAGGAAAAGGTCATAGAAGTCCCAGCATTCTCCAGGCAGCCATGCTCTTAAACAAGTAATTGTGAGACCTAAAAGACTACAGCTGTTTATTTTATTTATTTATCACATTTGTATGCTGCCCCATAGCCAGAGGCTCTCTGGGTGTCCCACAGAGCAATATTACAAATACAAATAAACAATAATTACAACCAAAACCATAAAACATAATAGGATTTTAATGCAATATAAATACAGCCGTATAAATAGAACAGGAGGCAATAATAACACAATATAACCAATAACAACAACCAGTAAAACAGTAAACCAGAAGCAAACCAATAGACCAATCTAAAAACAGATACTAAATAAAAAGTCTTAACTTTGTGCCAAAAGCTAGATAAAGTGGACGCCAGTTGCACCTCCCTTTGAAGGGAATTCCAAAGGTGTCGTGCAATGACAGAGAACACCCTTTCCTTTGCTGATTCCACCTCAGCTCATTGGGAGGGGGGTTCACAGAGGAGGGCCTCCATTGATGACCTGAGTGGACTGGTAGGGACATAAGGAGACAGGCGTTCCTTTAGATATCCCAGTCCAAAACTGTTCAGGCTTTATATGTTATTGTGAGCACTTTGAATTGGGCCCAGGCAGTGACAGGCATCCACTGCAATTGGCAGAGGACTGATGCGATATGTTCTCTAGGGCCAGTCCTAGTTAGTAACCACGCTGCTCTGTTTTGGCTTAATTGGACCGTCTTCAAAGGCAGCCCTACACAGAGTGCATTACAGTAATCCAGGCAATAGGTTACTGGTACATGGATACCTGTGGCAAGGTTCTTCTTGTCCAAGTAGGAGCGTAGCTGGAAAATCACCCTAAGCTGATAGAAGGTGCTCCTGGCCACCAAAGCCACTTGAGAAACAAGTGAGAGCTCAGGTTCCAGCAGCACCCCCAAGCTATAAACCTTATCTTTTAGGGGGAGCACAACCCCACCCAGGATTGGTTGAAATTTTCCCAGTTTGACAAGCAGACTGCCCACAAACAGAACCTCCATCTTCTCTGGCCTTGAGCTTCACTTTATTGGCCCTCATCCAGTCCATTACTGAGCCAAGGCACTGGTTCAGGACAGTCACTGCCTCACCTGGGTTAGATGAAAACGAGAGGTAGAGCTGAGTGTCATCAGCATACTGATGACACTTCAGCCCATACCTCTGGATAGCCCCACCCAATGGTTTCATGTAGATGTTAAAGAGCACGGGGGACAAATGGAGTCCTGTGAAACTCCATGGCACAAACGCTGTGGCACAGAGCAACAGTCCCCCAGCTCCACCAACTGGAGATAGTCAGGAGTGAAACCGCTGCAAAGCAGTGCCCCCAACACCCAGTTCAGCCAGCCTCTCCAGAAGGATACCATGGTTGATGGTATTGGAAGCCACTGAGAGATCCAGCAGAATCAACAGGGTCATGTTCCCTCTGTCTCTCTCCCAGGAAGGGAATATTGACTGTTATCCTGTTTAGTCGCACAGTTGCATCCAACCCACCACGACCCCATGGACAACATTCCTCCAGGCTCTCCTGTCCTCCTATCCCCCAGAGTCCACCCACACCCACCACTCCAATGACCCCATCTAGCTACCTCACCCTCTGCCGTCCCCTTCTCCTTTTGCCGTCAATTGTTCCCAGCATCAGGGTCTTCTCCAGTGAGTCCTTCCTTCTCATTAGGTACCCAAAGTATTCGAGTCTCAACTTCAGTATCTGACCTTCTAAGGAACAGTCAGGGTGGATTTCCTTCAAGATTGACTGATTTTATTTCTTTGAAGTCCAAGGAACTCGCAGGAGTCTTCTCCAGCATCTCAATTCAAAGGCATCAATTCTTCAGTGCTCTGTCTTTTCTTATGGTCCAACTCTCACAGCCATACATTACAACTGGGAAAACCATAGCTTTGACTATACAGTGGTACCTTGGCTCATGAATGCCTCAGTTCATGACCAAATCGGGTCACAAACAGAAATCTCATGAAAATTTTGCCACAGGTTGCGAACTCTGCATCGGGTTGGAGCGCAGCCACGCCCACCTCCCCTCCGTGCCTGCAGTCGCTCCTGCCGCGCCCCTGCGCACCCATCTCCCCCCACCCCCCTGCATAATCGCTGGTGGGGAAAAGATGGCTGCAATCTTTGTTGTTTGTCACTTTGCTTCAAAATTTTGTGAGTAAAAAAAATAGTTGCAGAAGAGATTAACCTTATTTACATTGACCCTTATGGGGAAATTTGACTTGGCTCACGACCAGTTTGGATCATGACCAGAGTCCTGGAATGGATTAAGTTTGCCAGCCAAGGTACCACTGTACAAACTTTTGTCAGCAGGGCAGTGTCTCTGTTTTCTAGTATGCTGTCTAGATTTGCCATAGCATTCCTTCCAAGGAGCAAACGTCTTTTAATTTCTTGGCTGCAGTCACCATCTCCAGTCATCTTGGAACCTAGGAAAATAAAATCTGTTGCTAACTCCATTTTGTCCCCATCTATTTGCCAGGAAGTGATAGGACCGAATGCCAGGATCTTAGTTTTTTTAATTTTGAGTTTCAAGCCAACTTTTGCGCTTTCCTCTTTCACCCACATCAAGAGACTCTTTAGTTCCTCTTCACTTTCTGCCATTAGAGTACTATTGTCTGTGTATCTGAGGTTGTTGATATTTCTCCCAGCAACCTCAATTCCGATTTGTGATTCATCTAGCCTGGCCTTTTGCATGATGTGCTCTGCATATAAGTTAAATGGGCAGGGGGACATATACAGCCTTGCCATATTCCTTTCCCAATTTTGAACCAATCAGTAGTTCCATGTCCAGTTCTCACAGTTGCTTCTTGACCCACATAGAGGTTTCACAGGAGACAAATAAGATGGTCTGGTACTGCCATCTCTTTAAGAACTTGCCACCATTTGTTGTGATCCACACAATCAAAGGCTCTAGCGTAGCCAATGAAGCAGAGGTAGATGTTTTTCTGCAACTCCCTAGCTTTCTCCATTATCCAGACCATGATCCAAGTGTATGTTGGAAGTTTGATCTCTAGTTCCTCTGCCTCTTTGAAACCCTGCCTGTACTTCTGGTAGTTCTCAGTCCACATACTGCTGAAGCCTACTTGGCTTGTAGGATTTTGAGCATAACTTTGCTAGCTCTTTGAACATTCTTTGGCATTGCCCTTCCTTGGGATCGGAATGTAAACTGACCTTTTCCAATCCTGTGGCCACTGTTGCATTTTCCAAATTTGCTGGCATATAGAGTGTAGCACTTTAACTGTATCATCTTTTGGGATTTTGAGTAGCTCAGCTGGAATACTGTCTCCTCTACTAGCTTTGTTATTGCTAAGACTTCCAAGGCCCATTTGACTTTACACTCCAGTATGACTGGCTCAAGGTCAGTGACCACACCATCTTGTTTATCAAGGACATTAAGATCTTTATTGTATAGTTGTCCATGTAATCTTTCCACCTCTTCTTAATCTCTTCTGCCCATGGAATATTGGCTATAGGTCAATAATTATTTATATCATTATTTATGGATTCAGATGTGGCTTTTTAAGGGGTGATGTAACTACCACTCCCTCTCTCAAGGAGGCACTCATCACCTCCTGGAGAGATTGAGTCCCCTCCTTCAGTCTCTCAATTAGTCAAGATGGGCTGGGGTCGAGCAAACAAGTTGTGGCATGGACATTATCCAACACCTTGCCCACATTCTCGGGCTGCAATAGGTGAAACTCATCCAGTAAAATAGGACCAAATTGCACACTGAATGCCTCTGCCAATGGTTCTGGGATAACTGTAGAGTCCAACTCAAGATAAATCTGAGCAAACATGTCACAGTGGTTCTCTGAGGGTTTGATGGTATCTCGCCTTGGGCCAAAGTGTGAAAGGCCATGATCCACCCGGAAGATCTCTGCAGGATGACAACTGGAGGATGCAATGGAAGTGGCAAAGAAAGACTTCTTTGCTGCCTTCACCACCGCAAAATAGGCCCGATAGTGGGCACTAAGGTGTATTCAGTCAGATTCATCAATTCTGTTTTTCCTATAGGGCAAACTGTGTGTCACAAACTCAAAGGTGGCTGGAAAATAACTATAGAACCATCACAGTACTACTTATGAAGGCCTGGGAAAGGGAAAATGTTATACATCATCCAGAGTAGTAATATGTACTCTTGGATTTCAACCAGTATTCACAAGCTTAGTAAACAGAATGCATGTTAAAAACCAGCCAATTTTGAAAAACATGTTACATAGGCTACAAATGATGTTTATTATAATGAACTCATAGTAATATCAGTTGCACTTAAGTATTTTTTCATTAGCCTATGGTATTAGCATTCTAGTATTGCAAATTCTTTTGTGTGGTCTGATTCCCAGCATTCCATCAGTCCAAGACCAAGAAACAGAGCTCAGGATGTGACTTTGCAGATGAAAACATGGGGTATCCAGATAAGAGCAAGATTGATTTTCAGTTTCTGGGATTATTGTTGGAGGAGGGTCATACAGGCAGGGAGAGGATTTGAGAGGGAAGTACCTGAGTATAACCATTTTCTTTCTCCCTTATAAATAGATCCTACTACATCCAAAGATAAAAAATACGGCACCTGGTGACTTTGTTATTCCTTAACAGTGGTCCACTTGGTGTATACACCTTGGTCATAATTATGTACATTTTGCTAATACTGTGTACTGAATTTTCAAATATGAGAGCCAGTGTGGTATAGTGGTTAGAGTGTTGGACTGAAACTGAGTTCTAGTCCACCCAGCCATGCAGTTCACTGGGTGACTTTGGGCCTGTCACAAGTTCTCAGCCTAGCCTACAGGGTGATTGTTGTGAGAATAAAATTAAGAGGAGAAGAACACCGCAAGTCTCCTTGGGTTCCTTGTAAGAAGAAGTAATGTAGAGTATAACTGCTATTTAATAATAATATGGTTCATGCCATTTTAGTACAAAGGACAAAGGTGATCATTCTGAGTGATGTACTTAAACGTTTTCTGATGATAACCTTGTTTGAGTTACACAGTGCTACTTACAAATACAGTTTCTCATTCCCCTGCTGCTTTGCCACTGGAAAGAAAAGCTATAGCCTTACTAGTTGGCCTAGTTTAGAAAATAGAATGGTGTCCTTGGTCCTTGAAGATTTGCATTCGGCAGTTAGTTCTTTTTGGTCACACTGGTTCTGGTTCATTTTTATATATGTATGCAGGGAATCAGACATACACATGGAATCTGCTATGCGAATGTTTTGCTGTTTTCATGGATCAGCAAAGACACTGTGAGGATGTTCAGATAACACAAAAAAAGCAGAGCACAGGTTGAATCATGGGCCGTTATATGAACCCAGCCACACTAACAAACCATGGTTGACAAACCTCAGAGAGTCAGTGTGATGGATAGAGTGTCAGACTGGGAGATCCAGTACTAGTTTACACTCTGCCATGAAGTTTAGGCTAGTCATTCACTCAGCCCAACTTTGCGTCACAGGTTTGTTGTGAGGATAAAATAGGATTAAATAAGCTGCCACAAGAGGGAAAAAGGGGGGATATAAATGTGATAATGTTGTAGTACAACCCATGAAGAGAATCCATGATTTGCTGTTGGATTGTAAACTCTAGGTTGTTTTGTAATTAACAAACCATAATTTGTTAGGGCATTTGCTTTCATACAGCACAACAATCCACAGTGCAGTGAGAACCCACAACTCAATGACAACCCAAACTCCAGACACAGTTTGAGCTGTGACATTTTCTGAACCAGGTCTCTGTGTACAATAAGGAATCTTTTTACGTATGTAAAACATTTTCTGTTGGAGATTAAGAAACCCCCGTGCTTAAGTAGCATAACACATGTCCACCAGACGTGGTGAAAATTCTGAGCAATATTTAATGAAATGCTCTGTGGCATGTCTAATTTTGCCATCTTTTAAAAAGGAAATAGCACTGGAATAGCTACTTCACCAAGTGATTGTGAAGAATCAGATGAAGTTCAGCAGATAAACAGCTACTCCTAAGGACCAAGTGAAACTTGCAAGAAAAGTGTTGCAATGTATCTTCTTCAGTTCCTACCAGCAGTTCTTCTGTTAATAGTTTCAGCTAATCACTCCAAGATACTCCATTCTAACTTCCCCTGATATCATCCTGTTTTCCATTTTACTTTTCCAGCTGGCACTTAATGTTCCATGACTTCTGAATGTGCTCTGCCAGCATTAGTTTATTCTATGTCCCCTTAGTTTAACAGATTTTTTTTGTACTTTCACAAAGATTTGAGTTTCCCCCAGCATTCAAACATCTCCCTCTTCTTTTGTACAGACCTGTTTCTAGCCAGAGTTCTCTTGACATGCAACCTATGTTCACGATTCAAAAGGGTGATAGTCCATGCTACATATATAAGTTAAAATTGTGTATAATACAAAATGTAAGTGTGGTTTTCAAATGTTATGTAATCGACCCTACTCAAAGTGTCCAAGCAGGGCCTGCTGATGATTCCATTCCACAAGAGGTAGCTACCACTGGTTCCTTTCCATGAGCAGCACCCATCTCTTACACAGTGAGAGTTTAGCACTTCTTTGGGAAGCTTCCAAATTAGTGTGAAATGTGCATTTCTAGATTGGGACAGGTTCACAGAGGTACCTTATGCAAGCACTTCCAGCATGTCTTATTCCAGAAATGAGCATTCTTGTTAGTTTCCAGTCCCTAGAGAAGGCACCAAATTCTTATTGTGCAGGCAATTGGTGCCTCTTCTGGAAGGAAATTAGTCATTCAATACTGCTCAGATGAAGTTTTGAGGGCCATTAACAAAGAATTACATGTAGAAGAAAAAATCCACCTTCTTCAGATAGTATACATTTTAGAATAGTCTGCTGAATTAGTTCTGTGTAAGATAACTGTTATATCTGTGCTCTGCAGTTGCCCTCTTGTATAAATAAGAAGATGGATATTGCTAGATGTTACCAAAGATCCATTTAATCCACCCTCTTATTTCCCAGAGTGACCAAACAAATAGTTTTTCCATGCTGTTGCTCCTCCAGCAGTAGGTGTACAGTAGCATACTCATTTGAAAGAGGCAGCTCTGCTTAGCAGTCAAGGCTAGTAGCTCTTGATAGACCTGCCCTCCATGAATTTTTAAATTTCTTTTAAAATGGCTATCACACTATATTGTAGCCATTCATATAATTTTGCATATTTTAGATTAATTAGATGTCAACATTAATGCCAGAAAACAAAAATAGAGGTGTAACTTGAAGCCTCTGGTTTTAATGCATTTTTATTTAAAAAAGAATTAAGATAAAATGTTGGTTTCATTATGTACTTTTAAAAAAACTGCTGGTATATTTTTTCAGCCAAAGAAGCATTTGAAAAAAGGATTACTCCTATAATAATAGACAACACAAACACACAAGCTTGGGAAATGAAGCCTTATGTTGCTTTGGTTAGTATTCCATAATTCATTGTTATTGAACTAAAGCAGGGGTCCTCAAACTTTTCCAACAGGGGGATAGTTGAAACATGCTGGGGGCGTGCACAGGCCGGGCGTGCTGCATGCAGGCTGAGGCAGCCGCTTGATCGAGCGGAGATCATTTTCTCTGACCAAGTCCAAATGATTTCCCCACGAGCAAGCCACTGCCGAGCGCACACGCAGCGAAGCACCAACTTGCTCGCGAGGAGATCATTTCTCTGAGCGAATTCAATCCAATCTTCACGTGAGCAAGCTGCATGCCCAGTCCAAACCTCGGGTGGACCAGTTAAATGGGCATGGCAGGCCAGATCCGGCCTGTGGGCTGTAGTTTGAGGACCCATAAACTCACGCCTGTTACATATTTCTGTGTATATTTGTAGGTGCCACTGTGGTAACTTAAGGCTATCTGTAGAGCTCTTTAAATGTTACATGGTTGGATATCAGGGATGGCTTTGTGTTTATGCACTCTTTGAGTATAGTATGAATGGTGGAGGGAGGGATGTACTCAAGGCCCACTTTTAATCTGTATCGAGTACAATCACAAGAGTAAACTTCTTTGAATAGAGCCCAGGTATTTTACATTTGAAGAAGCTCTAGGGACAGGTCTTATGCATGTCTTCTCAGACTGAAGCCCCACTGAATTCAGTAGGATTTGCACATAAGTGTGCTTAGAATTGCAAGCTGTGATTACAGTCCAAAAACAGCTGACCGGATCAGACATCCATGAACTTTAGTCGCAATTTACTTTTCTGTGATATATTTAGGGTATGTTTCAGTGGTTTGGGGCGATTCTTATCATCACCAACAATTATGATGGTTGAGATGTGTTCCAAACTAAGTTCCAAAAGTTTGATTCACTTTTTAAATGAGTTCTTAACCCTCTGTTTCACTGGTATTAAAGATACATTGATATATCTTCTTCAATATTTTTATTTAGTCGCAGCAACACAAATATAAAGTTATATTTCGTGAACCGGATACTTGGTGGAAGTTTAAACCAAAAGAACTGGAAAGGTAAAAAAGAAATTCAAGTTATAGCATGATTTAAAAGAAATAATAAAGTTATCTCGGTCAGATAGATGCCCGGAATGAATCTAAGCATCTTTTATTAACCCAGATATGCCAACTGGACCAGGATTGCTGCTGCATTTATCTCAGTTAATCTCATTCAATTCTCATGGGATATTTGGAATTATTGTGAATTTACACAGATACAACAGCTGTTCTGAGGTAGTAAGCCAAGTTGTAACTGATTCTGATGCCCACATTGGCTTTCCAGTCCCCTTCATGTTTTCTCTCTGGTCTGTTGCTCAATTGAAAATATATGAGAAACAACTAATCTTCTGCTCATTGTTTCCAGAGCTGCTTAAAATGTGATGGTTTGTGACTCTGTGGGTTTTTTGACATTTTGGAAGTTGTCAGTAAGCAGTCATATAGAAAGTAAAGGTATACGCTGTTAGAATCTGTACCCAGTTTGGAACTTGTCTAAATAATAGCAAAAGTTAAATCAGTAATTAATATTGAAATGTCAAATGTGTGTAGGTTTTCAGGTTAGACAGATCTTTTCATTTGCTTGTAAAAGTACAGTCAACAACAGAGAAACATCTAGTACTTGTTCTTTAGTTGCAGCATCACAGGAAACAAATTTGTTTAAAATAATTTTTTAACATTTCTCAAATGTATGAAAGAAAATTGTACTATGTTTTTGTTGTGGTTGGAATCTCAGCTGTATTCTTTTTAATGTTTAGGCGAAATATTCATGGTGTATCTAAAGAAAAGATCAAAAGAATGTTGGAACGATATGAACGTTGCCTGACTGTTAATTCAGTTCTGAATTCTTCAGTCCCAGATGAAATGAAAAGTACAACCTGTGATGAATTTCTTTGTCAGAAAAAAGGACAAGGGTAAAATAATGTCTCCCCTCCCAATATAAAACTTAAAGCAAGTGTAAAGTGTCAAAGTAAATGTCAATGAAGCTTGATTATATTTTGTGATATACTGTCTTCCAAAATAGTAGTTTATGAGAATCTTGCACTTTATGAAGAGGAAAATAAATCATGGCTCTTAAAGATTCACAAAAGTAATATGGCATAAGCTTTCAAGTCTTTAGGATGTCATAATAGTTTTTGTTGTGTTTGTTAATGCAGACTAACTAGGTTATCCTTCTGGAATTATTCATTGTACATTTATCAATCCATGTATTCTTTAATGCACGCTGACCTGTCCTTTCTTTTTCCAATATATCTTGTTGAATCTGTTGTAAATTTTATTTAGACAACACTAATCTTTAGCCCTTTTAAAAGAAGTACATAATGCTCTCCCAAGGACCATAGGATTGTAAAGTTGACAACCTGCTGTGAAAAATAGATTACTCATCATTACTAATCTTTCACTGCAACATACAGATACAGGGAGTGTGTGTGTTTGTTCCATGTCACACTCTCATGCAGTGCAACAGCAAGTCCTAACTGGTTTGATCAGTGGCTTGCATGAACTGAACATGCACCAAAAGACTGGATCTCTAGCAGATGATTCAAAGTGGAAGATCTCCTTAAAATTACAAACTCTGAAACCACTGAAATAAGCTATTTGATTTAATATTTTTAATACCACATTTTGAACAACAAACTTGAGCTCAAAGTGCCTCATGAAGTATTTAAAAATAACATACAAATAATATTTTTGTTAGTGAAATATAGTAATTAAAAATGGTAACATGTCAATAAAACAAAATAAGCAAACATGCAGTTCAGTACAGCCATGCCTAATAATTCAAAAGACCAGCTGGTGAGCACCAGCCCAGTACTAGCTGACATACGCTTGTTTTTATGCCTAGAATGGAGTCATGTTGCAATAAATGAACATGTTTTCTGAAGTTGTACTTTTCCCCCCAGCTGTATTTTGTAGCTGCTCCTGGCACAGTTTATAATTATTGTAAAGGAGCCATTTTATCACACACTACAGTGGTGTGGAGCAGCCTTTTCTGCCTTGGAACTTCCTGACAAGTTGGACTGCAACTCCCGTAATCCCCTAGCTTAGTTGAATGGGAGAGGTTTATAGGAATTATAAATCTATATGTTTAGAGGGTACCAGGATGAGGAAACCTGCTGTAGAGAACATAGACAATTACTCCCTTAAATAAGAAAATCATTAAGAAGGTAATGTGTACAATACTAAATGGGTGATCAGAAATGTGTCAAGCTACAATTGCATCCAGCTGCAGGAAGTCTGATTGGTGTACAAGTTCCTTCATTTGCGCAGACTTTCTATTTCAGTGGTGAGAGTGGTGAAACTAATGTGTACATGTTGCTTTGCATGTACACATTAGTTTCATTTAGTAAAATGAATGGAGTACCCTTCATGCACAATAGTATCTGTATGTGCTTCAGAATTAGCATGGAACATTTATAGGGAATACTTACCTGTGCATTCCAGTTTCCTTAACAGAATTCCTGTTTCATCCAGGGGACATGGTTTTGAGTCTCTAGCCATTCCTCTGAAATCTTTAAACCTTTTCCCTTGGTTTGGCTAGGAATATGCACATATATAGTTTACAGTGTATTAGAAGATATTATTGCCTAATTTTTTTAGCAGAAGTAAATATTTCTGTACCATTTCCCATTTCTGTACCATCTAATAGCTGGAGTTTGCTGGAGCTCTGTAGGCAGTTAACAATAATTCATAAAAACAACACATTAAAATATAGTAAAATGCCATAAAATCTTTTAAAAAAATACAAACATTTTAAACAGAAAAATTAAGAACTGCTAAAAGCAGCTAAAAAGCATACATTGAAGAATAGTCCTGTAAAAAACATTGGTGATGGGTAATCCCCTCACGTCCTTGGATATTGAAGCATATCTTTACAAACTTTGACCTAAAGGTGCCAGGTAGGCTGCAATGAGGAGGTCGTTCCATAGATGGAGGGCCACCATACAGAAAGCCTTCTTCTTTGCTGCTAGTGGAGTTGGCGTTCTGAGAACAGCCCTGGGTGTTGAGTGTAGTGTCTGGATAGGGTGCACCATCCTGCATTCTGGTCCTAAGCAGTGTGAGTCTTACAGGTTCAAACCAGCACCTTGAATTAAGTTCAAAAGCATTTAGGCATCCAGTGCAAGCAGCCCAGAATTGGTCTTACATGTTCAGACATAGCGATCCTACTTGGCTCTGCATTGTGCCCAAGCTGCAGATTCTCAATCATCTTCAAGGGCAACCCCAAATAGAATACATTTCAGTGATATAATGTAGAGATTATCAGAGCTGTCCCTGTTAGGGGTGCAGCTGGCTCTCCAGCCAGAGCTAGTAGAAGGCACTCTGTGCCACTGAGGCCACCTGATCCACAGCTGACTAAGATGAATCAAGAATTCTCAAGCTACACACCTCTTCCTTTAGAACCTGATCCAGAACAGGTTGAATAGCCTCCATCCAGTCAGAGGCACCAGCCATGACAGGATCTCAGTCTTGTTTGTATTGAGCTTCAGTCTTTTAACCTCCATCCAGTCTATTATCATGTACAGGCACCAGTATAGCATATCCACATGATGGGAATGAAAAGGAAAAATAGAACTATGTGTTATCAGCATACTGATGGAAATGTGCTCTCTAATGACCCCACTCATTGTTATGGTTGTTAAATAGCATGGGGAATAGAACAGATCCCTGAGGTATTCCATGCTGGAGAATCCACAGGGTCATGGATTCATACCCCAACAGTATAGCCCAAGCACCACCTTCTGGGGACAGCCATCCAAGTAGGTGTATGCAGTACCCCTTTTCCCACTTCAGAATGTTGCCCCAGAAGGATACCATGGTTGATGATAACCGTAGCATCCGAGAGGTCCAGAAGTATCAAGGAGATCATACTCCTCTGTCTTTCTTCTGGCGTAGGTTATCATAAAGGGCAACCAAAGCTGTTTCTAGGCCAAAACTGAGCCTGATCCTCAATTGAAATGGATCCATAGAATCAGTCCCATTCACAGTACCTGGAGTTAGTTGGCAATAATCTACTTCAGAAATATTTGCTACTGGCTTAAAGTTATTATGATCTTCCAGGTTAATGGAAGATTTCTTCAAGAGTGGTCTCCCCATCACCTCTTTCAGGTGATATGGAATCACTCCCACAAGGAGGCATTCTCGCTGTAAGCCAGGAGGGATAAGGACCCAGTACAGAGCTGGTTGCACAAACCTGTCTGCACACCTTTTCAACACCTTCAAGCTGTACCAAATGAAACTCATGCAATAAAACTGGACCAGAAAGTGTTCCAGGTATCTCAGCTGCTATAACTCTGGAATCTTTAAGTTCCAGTGAATGCAAGATATTTTTTTCTGGAATAACCCAGCAAATATATCGCAGTGGACCTCAGATAAATCTGTCTTTGGAGCCAGGATGTAACAAGCCCCTAGTGTTGTTTCATTGAAGTGCATTCTTTTTAAAAACAAAAACAAACTGCTCTTCTTTGACTTTTTCAGGAAGAAAGGGACACCTCCTTATGGGAAAAATGAAGAACCTTTGTCTTCCCTCTTTAAATGTGTAGAACTAAATACAGACAATCAGCATATGTTAGAGAAAGCTGCAGCAGAACATCAAAATCTTAAGAATGAAAAGCAAGATAACAAGTTACAAGAATGTAATTCTGAGTGTAGAATCCATCTTGATAACTTGGATATTTATACATCATCAAGGGGAGACAGAATGGATTTTTCTCTTGAAACAGAAATAATTAAACCAGCTGTCGTAACATCTGAGCAAAGCTCAAACTCAGATTTCTGTGTCAGAGAAAACATTCAGGAGTATGATTACAACCACTCTGAAGTTGAAGCTGGAGCAAATCAGTGTACTGAAGTATTAACAGAAGCAAACCTAATAGAGACAAACATTATAAATGGCGCTTTTTCAAATTTTGAGAAATCAATTAAGCCAGAGATGTTAAATTTTGTGGGAGACTGGCCAGTAGAACAAACTATGGGGCAGAGAGTTAAAAGAGCAAGAAAGTTAGAGAAACCTGTAAAGAATGACAAGGAGGATAAAGATATATGTATGCCTGCTATTAATTCATTAAAGATTCCAGATGAAGATGAAAAAATAGACGTGATTGATATTCAAAAGGAGCTGTCAGTTTCTGAAACTAAACAGGATGAGAAAAACCAACCCTATGATGTTAATACAGAAGATGCATCGGGATTACTGATAGTAGGGGACTGGCCTGTTCAAAAATCTTTAGAGCAGAGAAAACAAAAAATGAAAAGGATACCCAAGAGAAGTCTTAGTGAATCAGAAAGCAGTGGAAATAATCAATGTGATAGCAACAGAAATGTTTTGAATACAGTGTCCATCCTTTCTGGAACAACTGAAGGCACTGGAGAGCTAGAAGTTTCATCAAATAAAGTAAGTTTTCAGAGTCCTGAAATCTCAGCTTCTGAAACTGTTAGAGAGAAAAAGCCTGCACAGAGTAAAAGAACACGCAAGCACCATAAATTAGCCCTAACATTTACCAACAGTTTGACCCTCAGAAAACCAGAGGAAGAGTTGCCTCTATTTAGTCTAACAAAAGAAAAACCTGATGAGACAGAGACCAGCAAGTATTCACAGACAGAGCCCCAAGACTTTGCTCTCCTATGGAGACTTGAAAGAAAAATGATTGAATTCAATGAGGATATTAAAGTGATACATGGAAAGTTAAATGGATTTGTACCAAAAGGAATTGATGCTACTTCAAATTGTCCAGAAAAAATACCCTATAAAGTAACCTATGAGAAAAGCACCTATGTAGAAGAAAGTGAACTTGTCAGTATTGATGAATCTGAAAATCTAAATATTTTGTGTAAACTGTTTGGTTCCTTTTCATTTGATGCACTGAAGGACTTGTATGAAAGATGCAACAGAGACATTGACTGGGCTACAGGGATCCTGTTAGATTCTACTGAGAAGCTGTGCAAAGATGATGATGTGTGGTGTTTACAAGAAGCAGGAGCTCAACCTCATATAATTCGTGACTCCAAGGAAGCTTCTATTTATGGAGGGAGATTTGGAGACTCTGAGGAGAACCCCCAAGTAGCTGTAACTTCAAAAACATTTCAGGATTCAGAAACAATGAATCTCACAGTTGATGACAGAAATGATAACACTTCAGATTATTCCAACAAGAATTCCAATCAGCTTGCTCTAGTTGCTGAGGTGAAAGAATCAGATAAAGAAAACCCCCTCTTAGATACTGTGAAAACATATACAAAAAATAATAATTCTGTTAAAACCCTATCAGAAAATGGGCAGCAGAACAAAGCCTTGCATGCTGAAATGGAGTTATCTATTCCTGTGACTGTAGCTGATAATTTTCATGGAGACACTACCACTTTGAACCCTACTTTTGATATGAAAGCAGACAACAGTTCTTCAGGAAAATATCAAGAATGTTCAACAGTAGAAGATGTTCAAGACCTGTTGGCTGATATAATACTTACAGACGACTTGGCAAGCAAAGAAGGCACATTAGAGGAGTGCAAAGAAATAAATTGCAACTCTATGTTTTCAGATGCAGCACAAAAAAAAGAAGACAACGTACCTAATCAAGATGATATCACAAAGTTAGTGAATGCTGCTCATGTATCAAAATCTGTGAACATAGATTGCCTGGAATTGGTCTTACCTCCAGAACTAGCCATTCAGTTAAGTGAAATATTTGGACCTGTTGGTGTTGATTCAGGTAATACTAATAACACTATTTTTAAAAAACCCCTTTTGTATTCATTACATACTGGGAACTGATGTGATTACGTTGTTGCTGTACATTAGAAAAGACACTTCTTGCACATATATTTTAGGCTATAATTGATCATGTCACTTGTGTCAGTAATAGTGGGCTATTCTTCCCCTACTGCAGTATCTCCAAATGCATTGCTTTGTTCTTTCCCCATGTGACTGAATGGTGTCCATTCACTTACATTTGGGAAAATAAAACATTTGGGAATACTGTTAAAGCAGTTAAAATGCACCTGTTGAGTGTCAAGACTGAGAATATGGTGTTATCCTCTCCCAAATATGTCCAAGACTGCAGTTTATCTACTTCAGCCCTATAGAGCCAAGTTACTCCCTGTCTGATTAGCTTCACCCTTCATCTGCATGTCCTCACTTCTGGTTCTCTTTCTTAATGAAATTAGGGACACTGGCTTCTCTATAAATCAATAATTTGATAGCCTTTTAATTTTAAAATTCATACTGTTGGATTGGAAACCTTATTTCCTCTATCAAGTTCAGAGTTTGGTTTTTTAAATTTAACCTGAGGTTCAAAATGTTGCTACATCTGTCAAGTATGGAAGAGTTTCTTTGGATCATTTTAGGGAGTTTGTTCATTTGCTTGTCTATGACACTTTATGTTGCCTCATAACAAAAATTATGAGGACACCATATATAACTTTTTGATACAAAACAATATAAGAAATTAAAATACAGCTCCAAGATCATGCAAGTTTGACACCTAAAACTTGGCACCTATACTTAGGAAATCCTAGGGTGTGTACCTCAGAGTTATTTGGATTTTTTTCTACAATTCATTCCCTTATTTTAATAAATCTGTATGTTTGAAGGCTGTAGTAACATCCTTGGTCACTAGGTGGCAGACATCCCTAACTAGTGCATAGATTTGCAGTCTTTACATTTTGAAACCAAGAAGAATGTTGTAGTAGAACAGAGTGACACAGATGTCCCCATCTTTCTTCTATGAGACAGTTCACATTTAGGACAGTGGAGTGGGCATGCCTCTCCTTTAGGAGTAGTAGAAGTGCACTATACCTAAGGATTCCAGAAGCTGTAGCTTCATTCACATAAGACAGGCACATTATGTTAAGTTTCACAGCTGCATAACTGCCTGAAAGCTTTGTGATATTAAATTAAGGACTATTCTAATCTGCCAATGCTGACTGTGTTAATTAGTATAGAATATTAAATGCCTCATGAGTAAGGGCAGGATGGCCACACTCATTTGAACTTGCACAGCACTTTATCTTTGTGTGTGTGTTTTTCCTTCTGAAAGGATCGCTAACTACTGAAGATTATGTGGTTCATATTGATCTGAATTTGGCCAGAGAAATTCATGAGAAATGGAAAGCATCTATTATGGTTAGTTAGCCTTTTTCTAAAGGCAAGTCTATGGTTGTTGTTGTTTTGTTTTTTGGTTGTTTGCTTCTGTGTTTCTCATTAAGTTACAACAGTATTTATATATTTGCTGTCCCTGATCTGTTTCATAATCTGTGGATAATAGCATGATTACATTTAAATCAAAGGTACTCTAGAACAAACATCTTATCTCATTCTCTCTTTCTCTCTCCATACACATATCCATACTTGCCAATAAAATTATGAAACTAGTTAGTTAAGAAGAATCCATATGTCTAAGTCAACAAATAATTGGTCTTTAATAAAAAGCATTTTTTCAGGAAGCAAAAAATAACATGCTCCACATTTGTTGGGAGAAGAGATTGATCAAGGATTTTAGGTAAATAAAAGCTGTGATCAAAATTAAAGCGAAATGAAAGTTCAAAATCTTGAAGAAGGGTTGCGTGAGAAATGGTGCAAGTATAGACATTGGTTGTTTCAGTGGGAACACTGTTGCATCCAAAAGGATTCCACAAGGTAAATATTGTTCCCTAAGATGGTATGTGTTTCAGAAGTTTAATTGGAATAGTTAAAATATGTTCCTCTATGCATGGTGAGGGAATTTTTTATAAGACCATTATGCAGTTTTCTTTCCATACATCCAGTAGGCATATAAGTGAAGAGACTGGTAATGTTCTAGTTTGTTGCTCTAATTGCTTGAAAATTGAAATTCAGTTGCCTGTATGAGTTTGCATGCTATCCAAATCTTACTATTTTCTTTTAAACTAGAAACTTTTTTTTAGATTAATTAGCACTTGCTTAAATATGTGGATCATTAATATTAAAATGCTTTAATTTAGAAGCGACAGAAGAGAGAAGAGGAATTACACAAGATCCTTGAAGAAAGTAAGTATTTGCTATAAACCTTGATCATAACTGACCCTCCCATTATTTAAAGTGATTGGCATGTTTGATTTGTATCTAAGCAAGCCTGTTCCAATTCTTATCTGGCCATGAATATATCAGGGTTTACAAGATCATGGCTTTGGTCTTTTATCCTTATAGAAGTAAATAAATGTTATAAATAGATATCAATTCATATTTGCTTCTCCAAGTTTGTGATCATATGTCAGGTTATCCTGTCTTATTCTAAAACCACTCCACAGGATAGGTTGAACAGACAACCAGCGTATCCCAGGCCAGAGTTTCTTGACACCTACAGAGTTTCTTGACCAAGCACCTTTTACAACCCTGTTTTGACAGAGATTAATCTCTCCCCTAAGTCTTGGGTTGGGTTTGTTTTTTTCTGCAGCAAGCATTGACTCAGTTTGTTTGTTTGTTTGTTTGTTTGTTTAAGGTTTTTGTATGCCATCCCACTTACTAAAAAAGATTCTGGGCAGCTTACAGAGAGCTAACCAAAAAAACCCAGAACCCATAACAACAAACAAACAAAAAAGGACACTGTATCTAAAGTAAGAATAAAACCAAGAATAAAACCAGATTAATTATTAAAATACTGGGAAAATAAAAAGTTCAGGCAGTACAATACCCAATCTCAAAGGCTGAACATGGGTTGCTGTTGAAGCATGTGTTACGCTGTCTGAACTCTGCCATGCTAAGAATTTATGATTTGTTAACCATGAACAAGCCATAGTTCACAACCCAGCAACAAACTATGGGATCTCTTTATGAGTTGTTTGTAGTTAATAAATAATGGTTTATTATCACAGCTAGGCTCAGAAAATATGATAACCCACATTTAAAACAACAACTCACATTTCAGTGACAACACACATGCAACTCTTGAGCAAGTGTCATATAGTGGTTAAGAGTGCAGGTTTGGAACTCAGGCAATTTGAGTTCTAGTCCCTGCTCAGCAATGGAACCAAGTGGGTGACTTTGGGCCAGTCATAGATTCTCAGCCCTTCTCCTTCACATGGTGGTGGTTATGGGGATAAGACTGAGAGCAGGAGGAGGACAATGATGCAAGCTCCTTTGAATTCTCCACTTGGAGTAGGGGGTGAGATACAAAAGAAAAAGGTGAAATATAAATCTAATAAAATACTCTTGAATGTGGATTATCATGTTATTCAAACTGATAATGCGGACACATGGCTTTCTGTGTGTGTGTGTGTGTGTGTGTGTGTGTTGGTTTGTTTTTACATACCCAGTATAAGAAACATCACAAGAGATCAAGCAAACCGTGAGGGTTTGCAGTTGAGAAGTACAGATAGGGAATGTTTGCACATAAACAGCTAGTCAGAACTGTAAGATCACCCACTTGTTTCAAACAGCTTTTCTTAAGATTACATGCCTTGAAAAAGAGGAAGAAGAACCCATGATTCTCAGAACTGGCACATCATTGGAGTTAGTGGATATTCTCTTCTTTCATTGGAAGGCAAATTGTTAATAATACTAAAATGCAATGGATGTGCATGATGCTTTACAAAATGTCATACTCAGGAAGTATTTTTCCTTGTGTTTTACTAAAGGACCATCAGTATGCCTACACTGATGCAGTTCTTAATGTCAGTTGAGCCTTTGAAAAACCAGGAAAATTAATGCATTTGAATTTCCATTGATTCTTTCTTTCTGGGGGAAAAAAACTAACTTCAGTTGTTACTTTCTGAAGATCCCATGCTGTTCGAGCAGCTGCATCTAGATGATCTGGATAACACCCTTTCTCAACATACTAACTGTCAAGCACAACAAAGTGAAAGACTACCTGTAGAGGGACAGGCTGACAGCTCACTAGCTTTAGAAGTTCTTCCTTTCATGGATCACTGGAACGTCCAGACACAGAAAGTATCACTCCGACAGATAATGTCTGAAGAAATTGCATTACAAGAAAAACAAGACCTGGTAAGAATATCGCCTCTTATTACTATGCCTCTGCAATATGGTACTACTGCACCTTTGTCACTCTTTTATTTTTAATGTCAGAACCATGGAGTTGAGGGTGGATGGCCTCCTGAAGTTGCCCATACTGTATGTGTTTTGCTGAGAGTGAGTCCCACTGAACTCAGTGGGTCTTAGCTTAGTTCTGAATAGAGCTCTATAAGGTTGCACCAAATTATATAAATTTAGAATCCATAACTAGAAAGTGGGGCACAGCTGCATAGTTCTGCTATGCTTGCAAAGCTAAAATTTCATATCCTAATGTTTTGGTGTGACATTATTTCAGAACATTAGATCAAAAGATATGAAGGTAAAAACTAAAGTATGCAAAATATCTTTTGTAAATAGTATCATTTTTAAATGCCATATATAAATATTTTCATGTTTCTAGGAAAGTATTCATATTTAATAAGTTTTGTACATTTCCATCTGATGTTCTGTTCCATTCTGTTACTTTGTCCATATATTGCAAAGGCATAGTTTAATTTAGTACCTTATATTATCTTTCAGAGGTTGCCTTAAAATTAAGTTATATATCTAAGCAACAACAGTGTTATCTCTGAGCAGATGTAACACTTTGTTTCTAAAACATCTTTGGATACTTTTTTATTTTTTTATGACCAAAAAAAGTAGTGTAATGGTTTCTGTTATGAAGATGCATACCAATACTATTGTTTCTTCGTCGTGGCCTCTGTGCATCACACATATGGGTACTGCGCTTGTGCAGTACCTTTGGCTAGGAGATTGATAGCTAACGGTTTGGCAGGAACCTCCGCTCCCCTCCCCCCAGCAGTATATATGGAGCGGAGTGTCCGCCATTTTCCAGTCTTTGTGACCACCATTCGTTGTGTCTCGTGCCGCTTTCGCTCTCGCTCTAACCATTTCTCAATCTCTTCCACGTTTGCGATTCTTCATCTTCTTTCCTAGTTATATTCCAAGTTGTATATTCCCTGATAGTTCTGGTTGTTCTCTTGTTCGTTAACTTTTTTCTACTCTCTTCCTAAAAAAAAACAAAAACAAAAATATTATATTATCCCTCTGCACTGTCTTCTTTTTTCTCTTTCTACAATGGCGCAACGAGCGGCTTACCGCAAGAAGGCCAAGAAAGATAAGTCTGCCAAGCCGCCTCATAAATTGAAGAATCCCGAGCATTCTAAACATCGAGACTCAGGTTCGTTGGCCCCCTCAGTCCCGACGGCTGTCGCAGTACCAACACCACTGGGTCCGACGCTTCAGGCGGCCATGAGGGTTACCCCTCCTGGGTCCCCTTGGCACGTGGGCAAGCCAACAATGGAGCCTCCTCAACCCCCGCATCAGGAATCTATCTCTGATGGGGAGATTCGAGACTCCCCGCCCAGGACTAGGTCTCCCACACCTATGCCCCAGCCAGACTGGACGCGGAGACGGAGATATCTCCTCCTAGGAGTCGGAGAAGCCACTCGTCTGACAGAAGATCCGATGACTGGTACCATCCTCGATCATCGTTCTATCATGGATGGGGGGACCACCATTCTGTTGGGCGCTACCCGGCTCCTAGAGGTCATTCCACCAGCTCCTCAAGACCGTCCGACATCTTCGGCCCCGAGGCATGCTCCAGTACCGACTAGGGAGAGTAGTCTGTCCTTGTCACCCAGAGAGTCTTCCTCCAGTGCTCCCCTGTACTATGGGGTTGATTCAGATGACTCCAATGTGGACTCGACTTCTCCGGATGTCTCAGTGACTTCCCAGGGCCCCCTGACAAATCCCACATCTCCTTCGCGGAGCTGATGTCACATCTGGTTCAGTCGCTGAAAATTGATGCCATACAACGGCCCAGCCCCAGCGCTGACAAATTTTACGATGTTGTCCATGGAGAGCAGTTGACGTCGATAGTATTGCCGCTTCTTACCACCTTGCAGCAAGCTATGACCCAGCCATGGGACCTGCCCGCCCATCCCCAACCAACATCGAGGAGGTACGAAGCCATGTACCAGGTTCGGGAGGAGGACATTCTGTTCCTCCTCCGTCATCCTAAACCGAACTCGGTTGTGGTGGAGTCTTCCCAGGGCAGGGAATCAAGGGGTCACACCGCGCTCCACAGCAAGGAAGGGAGGAAGATCGACTCCCTAGCTCGCTGAGTCTATGCGGCCTCTGTACTCGGCTTGAGAATATTTATTTATCTATTTATTTAAAACATTTCTATGCCACCCCATTCGCCGAAGCCTCGGGGCGGCTCACAACATAAAATTAAATATAAAACATTCTAATATACAATAAATTAACAATATAAAATAAGTTGCCCTGGCCAGATAAAATAAGCAAATAAAATTAACGATTAAAATGACGTTTAAATAAAAAGGCAACACTGGCGCGATACCAGTATTTTATAATGCAGTGCCTCAACAGTGTCATCTTGGCTCTCCTGGATAACCAGGGCAACCTTGCAAAAGTCTTTGTGAAGGAGGCTATGCAGGTCGCGGTCCAGCAGCTCTCCACCGCCCGACATCACATGGACATGGACTCCAGGGCGCTGGTCGGTGCTGTCTCCTCCGGAGGCATGCGTGGTTGCGCAATTGCACAATTGCAACTTTCCAGAGGAGATGAAGAGGCGTATAGAGGAGATCCCCTTCGACGGGTCCAGGCTCTTCCATTCTAGGACCAACCACAAGCTCAAGAAGATCCACGAGTCCAGGATGACGGCTCGACATATGGAGCTTCAGCCCCAAGTCCGACGTAAGTGGTCTTGGACCCATCAGTCATACCGACAGCAATTCCAGTCAAGACAACAACCTCAGCACCGACAACAACAGCAACGCCACCGACAACAGCCACCGCAGCGTTATCAACAAAGCCGTCGTCACTTCAGTGGCAACAGGAGGCAATGTTGACGGGACGGGCGAACCTTTCCTCTCCTCCCTACTCCACCCACCCCTCTCTCATTTGGAGACCGGCTGAAAGGCCGACTCCCCATTTGGGAGTCCATCACATCTGATCGGTGGCTGTTGTCCATCATTCAGCACAGATATCGGATAGAATTCGACATCATTCCTCCATCGAGCCCGATCTGATTTACCCCATGCTCACTGGTATTGCTTGACAAAGTTCGACATCTTCTCCGTAAAGGAGCGATCCATCAGTTAGCTCCAACAGAAAGACTTCATGGATTCTATTCGAGCTATTTTACGGTCCTGAAGCGGGACGGTGGTCTTTGTCCAATGCTGGACTTATGAAACGTCAATAGGTTCATCACAACAAAAAAAATCAGAATGACCACTCTTCAAAATATCCTGCTGTTGCTGAGGAGAGAGGACTGGTTCGCCTCATTGGACTTGAGGAACACCTATTTCCGCATTTCAATCCATCCGTGTTATAGGCGCTTCCTCCGTTTTGCTGTTGCGTCTGAAGTTTTCGAATTCACGGTGTTACCTTTCGGACTGGCCACCGCACAAAGGGTTTTTACAAAAGGCATGGCCCCTGTTTGGTCTCCAGCTTTTCTTGAACAAAATGTTTCTTCCGCAAAGGGACTTACCGACAAAATTAATTCGGATCCCTTCCTCTGTCCTTCACTCTCTGCTATGGTGGACAATTCCGGCCAACCTAACCGTTGGGGTTCCATTCTGACCCTGATGCTTTTCACTGACTCTCGGTACCAATGCATCTCTACTTGGATGGGGAACAGTGTGCTCCGATCTATGCACTCAAGGCATGTGGAATCATCTGGAATCCAGGAACCATATCAATTTGCTGGAACTTCTGGCAGTATTCAAGGCCCTACGCTCGTTCGAGGACGTTCTTTGGCACCGAGTCGTTCAGATAAGCTCGGACAACATTGCTACGGTCTTTCATCTGAACAAACAAGGAGGGACAAAGTCACCAATGTTAGCCTGGCTATCGATGCAGATCTGGGAGTGGTGCATCCTGAGAGGCATTGCCCTAGTAGCGGTACACCTAGCCAGTACAGACAATGTGGAAGCCGATCTTTTAAGCAGACACATGTCCACATCTCACGAATGGGAACTGGATCGCCAGATATATGACCAGCTATTCCATCGCTGGGGTCATCCAGACATAGACTTGTTCGCAACCCGGCAGAACAGGGTATGCAAGACTTTTTGCTCAAGAGCGGGAATCGGACAAGGATCATTGGGGGATGCCTTTATGATCCCCTGGAACAATATGAACTTTTATGCTTTCCCTCCGATTCCCCTCGTTATGAGAGTAATATCAAGGATAATCCACAACAGGGCCACAGGACTGCTGATAACTCCATGGTGGCCATGCCAAGCGTGGTTTTTGACACTTCTTCACATTTCTCAATAAGAATATCTTCAACTCCCATCCATTCCATATCTCATAACCCAGCAAGACGGCACGGTTCACCATCCATATTTAACATCGCTGAAATTAACAGCCTGGCGAATTCAATAACAGTCGGCGCTGACTCGGTACCGATGTCATCTGTACTCTCTACGGGTCCTGTCCCTGGATCCGACACTTTAGTCCAGGCTTCAAATCCATCTGCCTTCCTTACGTCATCGGATCCAATGAACATTCTATCGGGTTCGATGGTTTTCCACCCGGACATCCAACGCAGTCTCGATTCTGCGTTAAGGCCATCAACCAGAAAATCATACGTGGCTAAGTGGCGACGATCCTCTACCTTTGCCGAGTCTCGCTCATTTCTTCCACATCCATAGACCGTATTCTCCAGTTCCTTTTAGAACTCTACCATTCGGGACTTAAGCCATCCTCCATAAAGGTGTACACGGCAGCAATTTCCTATTACCGTGGTACAGGTCAAGGATCCTCCATTTTCTCTCAACTACTGATAAAGAAATTCCTTAAAGGGCTCCATAACCTTCACCCGATGGTCTGACCAGTTATACCTACTTGGAGTCTTTCAGTGGTATTACAAGCGCTAACAAGAGCCCCTTTCAAAGCCTTGGCAACGATCGATTTACGTCTTGTTTCTTGGAGAACAGCATTCCTTGTAGCAGTTACGTCAGCCCAGAGAGCTAGTGAGCTCTGTGCCCTCAGGGTAGACCCCCCATATTTGAATTTTCACAGGGAGAAAGTAGTTCTATGAATGGATCCATCCTTTCTTCCCAAAGTGGCTACCTCCTTCCACATGGGTCAAGAGATTGTCTCACCTGCCTTTTTTCCATCTCCGTCAAATCTGATTGAGAGATCCTTACACACACTCGACGTACTGCGCTGCTTAGCCTTCTATAGATCAAGGACTGAGTCTATTCGACATTCCAGCAAGCTCTTTGTTAAGTACTCTCAGCAAGATCAAGGTTTTCCAGTTACCCCTCAGAGACTCTCTAAGTGGATAGTCCACACCATTAATCTCTCCTATCAGTTGGCCAAGATAGACTTACCTACAATACCAAGGGGTCATTTTACTACAGCTGTAGCTGTTTCGTCAGCCTTTGCATCGGGAGTTCTGATTGATGATGTCTGCAGGGCAGCCACCTGGGCCACCCCTTGTTCATTCGCAAAACATTATCGGTTGGATGTCCATGCTAGACATCCTGTTCCTTTGGCAGAGCCGTTCTTTCAGCTATTCTTCGTTGATGACACCTCTTCTCCTCCAGTCAGGGTAAGCGTGCTAATCTACCCATATGTGTGATGCGCAGAGGCCACGACGAAGAAAAGCAGGTTGCTTACCTGTAACTGATGTTCTTCGAGTGGCCCTCTGTGCAGTCACACATCCCACCCGCCGGCCCCGCTCGGTGTCAGTGGGAGGTGTTGTTTTGGTACCCTATTATTCTTGTCCTCGGTACCTATACAGTATTTCTTCTGGTAGTTGATACCAACAACATTTCCTTACTTAGTTTCAATTTGTTCTTTAGAGAGCAAACATCCGGTCTATCAAAGACTGGAAAATGGTGGACACTCTGCTCCATATATACTGCTAGGGGGGAGGGGAGGGGAGTTTCTTGCCAAACCGTTAGCTATCAGTCTCCCAGCCAAAGGCACTGCGCATATGTGTGACTGCACAGATGGCCACTCAAACAACATCAGTTATAGGTAAGCAACCTGCTTTTTTTTAGCAACTAATATAAATAATGGTCTCACTTGACTTTCCCTTTCCAGTCTAGCATTTAGCTACTATGTTGTGATAGTTTATATGATATTAAAATATTTTTGGCACATCTACAATTACAACAAATCTAGATTATGGTAAATCATTAAGGGAACATTTGCATGCTCCCTGGGTGGCTAACCATGGGATGCAACAGACCTATTTCTTCTGGGCAAGGAGGAAATTTGCTTGTGGATTTCCTCTGTGGCTGCTGGTGGAAAGTACCACAGCTGTGGTTGTCTAGCTGGTGGTACTCCATTGACTGGGGGCATACAGGATGCAAGCAAAGTTTCACATAATCTTAGATCCCCTCATCCACCTAACATCTGAGAATGGATACCTGAAGCAGACCCAGCAAAAAAGTTAGCATAGTAAATACTTCCCAAGTGGGGGTGGGGAGAAGGTGGAATGTGCCCCCCCTCCCCCCACACACACACATATCCTGGTCTTGATGCTCTGGATATGCTGTGATTCCACCACTGAAGACATTGGATTGGGATATAAAGTACCAAACAGTCTCTTCAGGGCAGCAAGCAACCTTGAAGATAGAGTATATGTACAGTATTGCTAAATCTAAATAATATGGAGCTAATAAGACAAATTTTGTGATTTAAATTTTTATATATGTATTGGATCTGTTTCTCTAGAACAGGTTTTACTTATTATAATATAAACTTATTTCTTGAATTAGAAACGTTTTCCTTTCATGGCTAGAAAAGACTGTGCTGCCAAGCTGAAGGAGAAGCAGCTCCTGGAGATATTCCCAACCATTAACCCAAACTTCTTAATGGACATCTTCAAGGATTACAAGTGAGCTCTTACTTGTTAATATGATGCATGGCAACAGCCTATGAATTATATTGTCAAGCTCCTTAATATTGTAAATTAGTATAGTAAATATTGTGAAGTGTATCCTTTAGTGTTCATCTACCAGCAGAACTTATACCACTGGTGGATCAAATTCCCTTTCCTGCTTGCAACTCCTGTGTCCTCCTGCCAAAACTGCTCTGAAGGGTTGGGGGACTCTAGAGCACAGTGGAGTAGCATGTAGGAAAAGTGGAAAGGAGATTCCTGTTGTGTGTTTGTAAGCCTAATTGCATAATATTGAGTTTAATCCCATGAATTCATAGTACTGCTGCTTTCTCCTAATGTTCTAAAAGGTTTGAGAGCTAAATACTTTAATTGAAGGGACACCTAACCCACATAAACCTATCCAAGTATGAAGAATATTTTCACAGGCTCTTTTCTACTGCTTTCTAATATAATATCTAATTACTCTGCTTTCTAATATAAGGCTAAAAGGAACTAGAGATAGGGACATTTGGCATTGTTGCCCTGGCTCTGGCAGGTTCTCCCTATGGTAGCTTGCTGAATGTGACATTTGAGGATAAGATCGGGAGGTGGAGAATTATATAAGCTACCCTGAGTTCCTTGAATGGAAAAAAGGTGGGATATAAATATAATAAATAAGTTTCAATTAAGGCTCAATTGATAGGCTTGCCTCCTTTAAAAAATAAAGATCAAGTATTGCATCTGATATTTTCTCCTTTCTTTTACTTTTTGTTACAGCAGGGTTTTCTGTTTTATTCTGTGATCTTATATGTCCCAAAATAACTGTTGTACTTTAATTTTTTTTAATCCTAGTTATTCTTTGGAACAAACTGTCCAGTTTCTGAATAGTGTTCTAGAAGCTGATCCAGTAAAAACAGTTGTAGCCAAAGAAACTGCTCGAGACGCCACCCTCTCTTCTTACAGTGCTTCAAAGACTCGAGATAAAAAGGTAATGGTCATTTTGCACAGTAGTTACACATATGCTTTCTGAAAAGGGCTTTATATGTACTACATAAAGGGGCATTTTAGTGAAACTAAATGATGAACACGACTATCTTTTTTGGATTGTTCTGAATAAGCAAATAGTTGTTTTAAGTGATTGCTCCTTGCCATGAAGTTGTCTTACAGACTTGGATGTGTCCTAAACATAGTTCTTATGACTTGTAGGCCAAAAAGTCCAAGGAGCCGGAAGATGTTCTCAGTGAAAAGGCATTCCAAGACTTTGAATATCCAGGATATAATGACTTCAGGGCTGAGGCTTTTCTTCACCAGCAGAATAGGCAAGAGTGTCTGAAAAAAGCTGGGGAAGCATATCGCATGGGAATGAAGCCTGTAGCAGCATTTTATGTGCAACGGGTAAAATCATCATCATCATCATCATCATCATCTAGTAACTGTGTAATGTTTTCCTTACCTAGTAGCATTTTTCTAAGTGTTTCTGGTGCTTTCTGTGATACCAGCTCACAAACGTATGCTGGAAAACCACACGTTCCATATGAATTTCAAGCTGTAACAAATTGCTGATATTAATTAGGTCTGTCTTTAAAATCTCTTGAGTAGCAGAGTTAGTGGATTAACTATAGAAATCAGTTAATAAAGTATTGCAGTTGCTTTCTTTGCGCAAGTATCAAGACAGTTTTCAATTTCTTTGTAAATATATAGGAATGAAGTTCTAATATTGCTGACAGGAACTAGGCAGGCTGCCTGGTTGGTCTCCTAAAGTGCTAGTAACATTTCACTCCTAAAGGAAGAAACAGTATCTGTCTTTGGGAAGCTTTCTACATTCCCAGATGAGAACTGCAGTGGCTAGGTGAGCACTGCCTATATTTGTTGGGAATCGGCAACATCAGGTGGTCCAGGAGTCAGCTTTCCCAAATTATGGTTATGGGGGCAAAAGAGAAACTGGATTGAAAATAAGCTAAATTTGTCCTTAGTAGTCTTCCATTGCATTTTGCAGCCAGTTTGTCTTTTCTTGATCAGTTTTTGAAGAGTAGCACAGGCCACACACAGTCTGCAAATTGCTATTTGCCCACCCGTTTTTTCCATAAAAATGAAAAAAAAACATTTTTTTAGAAACAAGTCCAAAGACCTTCACAGCTTCTATGCTCAAGTTTGAGCATGCCCAGAAGAAACTTTGGCTCTTTTTTTAGGGATAGGCCTGCATTCCAAATCATATGTCTACTGAGATTCAAAAGAGATTTGCAATAGGATTGTCTGTGTATTTTCCTACCTACTCTGTATCTTGCACACTTACAAACACAAGTTTGATAGTATTTTTAAGCTGTAACTGAAACTCTCACGTATGACTGTCTCAGGCCTGGAAGGCAAAATTTGGTTCTCTACCATTTTTTGTTTGCATTCAGTTAAGAGTCACATAAACTTTACTTTCCTCTGTCTTTTCCTTTCTACCTTTCTGGTCTATATTCCTGCTTCACAAAATCTTGTTGATCTTGAATCTTCCTGAAGCCCATCTGATCAGCCCTTACTTAGGCATGTACAGTCAATGTACGGCCAATTGTTCTGAGGCATTGAGACATTGCAGCTCCCTGCTTGTGATGCTCTTTTGAGTCCTGACAACCAGCACTGCACTTAGGTTGCCTCTCGTGATTTGACAGCTGATGTGTGTTTGAATAAAGGGTCGCCTTCATGAGCAGAAGATGAAAGAAGCGAACCAGGATGCTGCTATGCAAATCTTTGAGAAAGTGAATGCCTTGAAGCTGCCTGAAAACCTTCTAGACCTGCATGGCCTTCACGTGGATGAAGCTTTGGATCATTTGTATAGAGTCCTGGAGGAGAAAAAACAAGGTACAAGAATTTTATTTTGTTCATAGAAATAATTCTGAATTGTGTATATGGCTACATTGTTGGAGTAAAATGGTCACAGTATATTTGTATGTTACAGAGAACCTGCAGTTCAGTCCAGTCTTCCGTAACCTGGTACTCTCCAGATATTGTGGACTTCAACTCCCATCAACTCCAGCCAGCATGGCTATTGGTCAGGAATCCTAGAGTTGTTGTATAAAACATCTGGAGTATACCAGGCTGGGAAGGTCAGCTGGCTGCCTTTCATATTCTTCAGCCTCAGAGAGTGAATGAAATTGCAGTGGATGATGGGCTAGGTCAAGATTCTGAAGTGAGGGAGGAGGATGTAATTATCTCAAGGGCAGCTGTTTCACCAAGTCAGGCAGTTCCTGGGAATGGCCAAGTTGTACAGCCATTGGGAGGGGCCTCTGAGAATGAAGATTTCTCAGATGTATTTCTCATATAACAGAGTACAGCCTGGCTGGTGGGAAGCCATATCTCTACGTGATCACAGGAAGGGGAAACCATAGCCAGGGAGGAGTTGCTCGCATCAAACCAGCAGTTATGAAATACCTCACAAGCCACAAATTCAGGTGAGTTAACATAAAGTGACTGAACATTGACAACCTGCATTTAACCAATTAAAAGCTGTTTAGTTTTTTTTCCCCCCAAGAAAGACTAATAGATAGCTTGGATAATGTCTACAGATATCCTTCCACATGCGTATTTCTGAGTCTGCAGTATGTATCTTCTATTTCCTACTAAACTTCTGTATAGGATTTTAGAGACCTTGAGCAAGAGCCAGGTCTATATGAAACATGACTATGCCAAAGCCATATTAGGACGATTGGCTAGTGGTGGCAGGTTTCTTTTTGCTTGACTCTTGACTCTGAATATGGAAGCAAAAGAGGAAATAGATTTGCAAATGAGTGGCAGTAAAGCTTGAGATAGGGAAACAGGTGAAACCATGAGCAGAGAATAAGCAGAGACTATATGAAAAGTCAGGTAAAGAAAAATATGCACTTGGACACACTTTTTATGCTCTGATACCTCTCTGAGCTAGCCCAAGCACCCCACCTTGTGCTCTAATACATTTTTGTGTTCTCACCCCAGACAACATGTTGCTGAAGGAACAGCTGCTTCATTTGATGGCCAAGGAGCAACTTCAGAGAGCATAAGTCCTTGGGCTTGGGTGGTGGGGTGTTTTCTTCTTTGAACAGCAACCATCTCTTCCCAATGTCATGCTGTACTTTTCAGAGTCTCCTCAGTTATTCAGAGAGGTTTGTCTTGTGGTATAAGGGCACATCTTCAAGAAATACAAGCTCCCAGAACACCTTTGGACACCTTCCTTTTGCGGAAGATGTCTTCCACAAAAGGGCTGTTTTATACCTTGTCCTGGAGTACTGCATGAGAAAAGTGAAGCTAAATCCAGAGATGATCCATCTGTGTAACCCAGCCTTCAGCTGAGTGCCCTGCAGAAGTTTTGGATTACAACTCCCCGCTCTCCTGAGTATTGGCCATGCTGCTGAGGCTGATAAGAGTTGAAGCCTAAAACATCTGGAGGTCACCAAGCTGGAAAATGTTGGTGTGACCTCTTGCACTGTGTGAGCTCTTGTGTATATTTTTGTTCATTTGTGCACTAGTAGCTTTTCCTTCCATTTATTCTTACTTGAATTAAAATGTGTGATTGCTGATATGGTATTTGAAACAAAGTCATCTCTTGATTCACAGGTTCACAGAAATAAAGCCAGGCTGCCTGAAAATCATGCTGAAGTAAAACGATGCCACCAAGAAGGCTGCAGAAGCTGATACAACTAAGATATGAGCAACTTAAAAAAAATATCAGGCTTATTGTATTACTTCAAAGAATAATATTTTACTGGAAATGTTTTAACTTATTTTTAGCAGGTAATTTTGTCAGCATGTTTTCACCTCATCAAAACTGAATGGAGTATTTGTTTTTAAGGGAAATAATTTTATAGGTGTTTTGCTATCAAAAAGTACATTACTTTAAAAAGTGAACTTCTAAAGGGAAGCAAAGGTTCAATTTTGAAATAATTTGTCCTCCTCAGATTTGAAGGACATCTGCAAATGTTGCAAGTACTGTGCTTTTTAATATTTCCCTTTCTCTAAATGGATTTTAAAATAACTCATATGTTTTAAGACTTTGGATGTTCTGAAGTGAAGGCTTTGTTCTGGGGGAAACTGATACAATGGATCTAGTAATAAGCAATAATTATTTTTCAAACTTTTGTGTTTTCATATGACATTTATTTGCCCATTTGTTGTGAAGAAGAGTAGGGAGAGGAAAAGTTGAATTCATCTTCAGTCTAGAAAAAGTAGTACCTTTTCTAGTATCTTGGTGAATTATACCCATTATATCTTACTGCCTCTCATCCCTTTAGCTTTTACTTGCTTAATATATTGGAAGTATTGGCAACACTGCTTGCTGAAATGGTAAAATTTTGTTGTGAAAGGACAGGGTCACATAATCATTTAGAGATCTTAGCCTTTATCTGAGCAATAAGAAGAAATTTCTGTTACTGATATATTCCAACCACCATGAGAATAAGTGGAATTTCAAAAGATTCAGTTGTGGTCATAATGCACTGTTTGGACACTGTGGAGTACTGGTGCTTGCATAAAGTTCAGTGTGAACAGGAGCTTCCTTGTTCATGTAAGTATCCGAATCTGCCCATTTAGTGCAGTGACACTCTACAGAGAAAGCATCCGAATGCACAAGAGTGCTCTGCTCTCTTTACAGTAGAGTTCTGTTTGTGTATTGTAACTCCAACATGTGCAACAAAGCCTCGAGAATGGAGATGTTCAGATTTTTTTCTTCAGGAAAAGATATACAATGAAGTTCCATAGTATCCTGTCTAGAGCAAAATTGTATTTTATAAAGAAGACACCAGCAAATTGAAACCATGTGAGAGTTTCCCAGCTTCAGTCAGGTTCAGGTGCTGTTATCAGAAATTCAGAAGTGTTCCTCAAGAGCAGCTGTTTCCAACACAGTGCTGCACTGATGTAGCTCTTTTCATCTCCCAAATTTGTCCTCCTTGTAATGCAGTTAAAAGTATACATGTCTCCTTGAGATCAGGAGTTGAAAAGCTGAAGCACAGCAATTTGTACCTTTGTGTCTCAATTATATTGGTGCAATCTCATTTGAAAAACTTTTGTTGTTGATATAGTGGTATATTTTCCATCAATTTTTAAATATGTGAATTCATTGCAGGGAAAAGTGGCTGTTGGAATTATTTTTAAAGCACATTTTTAATCACAAAACCTAGAATGATACTAGCTACTGAAAAAGTACTGAATTTCTCTGGTGATTTTCAGTGCCTCTGTACTGAACTAAATACACAGAAATATTTTTAAATGATAGGTGCACTTTTTCATGAAGGAAACTGAATATGCAATTAATGTATACATTTATTCTTTCAAAGTGGAAATGCAAGTGCTCTTCAAAATAGTTTCTTTTTTAATTTCATGGAGCTTTTAAAACAACTGCAGATTGCATGTGAGCAATTACACAGATGGGTGAGTATAAAATATTTTTCATATACTTTAGGTGCCATTTCAGTTAATCTTAGAATGTTTAATACAGATCCAGAAAAGGGGGGAGGGTATATGTGATACAACAGAACTGGCACATGTATGTTGTGTGCATCAGTTAATTTCAGACATTATTGTGCATGTTGTAACTATAAGAATGGAGTAAGTTGCATGCGCATATGGTAAACAATCTTACAAAAATAATTGCTAAAATGAACTCTGACATGATGGCTTTGTTTACCCTGAATCATTCTACCGTTGTCCTCAATTTTTCAGAGACGTAAACAAGCAGAACATGGATCTTAGTTCCACTATGAGTGCAAGTGTTAAGCTATTTAATCCAGCCAAAAAACAGCCAATGAGATAATGTATGTCTGGCAGAACTATAAGTGTATGGAATGGGCAGGAGGAGTACAGAAAGCTGATAATTATTCTTCTGTTTTGTAGCTCAAAAGATTTCAGGTTTTAAATATTTGAGCTACTTGATAACTGGTTATAGGAAAGTATGTGTAAGCAGAAATCATAAATACAGCAGACCTACACCATCAGGTATTTACTTGCCTTTTACCAGACACTTATTCAGAAATCTAACATAAATCAGGGCTTCTTCATGCACTAACATTATTCCTGCACTGATGTCTATGTTGTCAGGACATGCATGCCTGCTTTCCTTCTATGCACATGATAGAAAACTACATCTAATATGTAAGCAGCCTGAATGGTTCAAAAGTGCTGATCATACATGATGATGTACACACATTTTCCCTACACATAAGTGATACTTCTGTAGGAAAGCCATTACATGAAGGCCTCACGTTACTCTTAAAACAGAAATATTGATGGCAGATTCTTCTTTTTGGATGGTGATATTCCTATTTTTGTTACAATTCTACTAAGAAAATTATACATAAAGTGCCTTCGTGCAAATCACACTTCTCTCAGTAAGAACTGCCCAGGAGAAGTAGCTTCTGAATTACACCTCATCATTTTTCCTGTGAAATTAAAATAGATTATTATTCAGAAGCTTGTATACCTCTAGGAAAAATAGTTGGATTTGATGAGGATGTTAAAAATGAATCTGAAAATAGTATCTGTAAACATACTACTGGAAGTCTATTTGTTATACTAGTAATCATTCCATAATTGTGATGGTCTAATATTTTACTAAGTTTATTAACACAGCAGGTCGGATTTCTTAAGTTGGAGAAGAATTATAATTGTATGCCCATTTTCTATTAAAATTGTCTTAGTTTAACCTCCTAAAGAAGATGTAATTAACATATACTTTATGAATTAGAGTAATTGCTTATGCTGCAAAACTAGTAATATAAATGTTATACTGAAAAGAAATTTACTCAGGGCAGTGGTTTCTGTGAAAAGTGCCTATGGAGAAGAAAGCCTTCCTGGTAATTGTTTTCAGCAGGTAATACTGTGGATAAGTATTTAAAGAATAATAAGTTGTGATAGCTAAATGTGCGCTATTCAAGTTTCAAAATATTACCAAACCTTCTTGGATGGATGCACCACACATTGCATACTGGCATCCATTTGAATATTCTATATTTTGCTTGAGTGAACAAATACATGAAATAAGCAACTGCATATCTGACCTACAGAAATTCCTGTGATCATCATGATAATTATGGAAATTGCTGCTGTTCATATGTGGTTGCCCAGATCACACATCAACATTTTTCATTGTAAACTTGTACTTCATAATGCTTTGGAAGGTTCACAAGGAGTAAAATCATATTGATTCTTTTCAAAAGAAGAAAAGAATGTCAGAGTCTCAGTTATTGAACAGATGATTATATTAATCTACTATCAAAGTGTGCAAAGTAGAAATCCAGTGTTGTACTGCCCAGTTGTCAGAAAAATATTATGGCCAGTACATGTGGATTTCTTTCTCTTATTAATGTGTTGTTGTTGTTGTTGGAAGTGTATAAAATTTGTCTAGTTTCTTATCTTTTCTCTATTTTCTTTTTGTAATATGTAGTTGTTAGCCCATAGAATTTCTTACATGAAGAATTTGAAATAAAAGCCCTTGATGAAAAAAAAAAAATGGATGCTGTTCTTTTTCAGAAGCTTCACATTGCCCTACGTTTGTATTTAACTGAAATGGTACAGAAGTTTTACATCAGAGCACATTGTTTCCTTTTTGAGGAAATTACTGAAATATAAAAGTGCATAAATAACCTATCATACTTCATTCTGATAATACTAATCCAGTATCTGGACTTTTCCAATAAAGGTTGCAGGTGCTGAGGACATTACATGTTTGCTATTCTACTGAACCAAAAAGATGAAAAGGGAAAAAAATCCCTTACTTTCAAATAGAAAACTCAATGTGAAGGGGAAAGGGTCATCTGCCAGACATGTGACTTTTCCTTGTTAAGGTAATATTTTTGCATGGAGGAACATTTAGAATCAATAGCTTTAGGACTGCTATGCACAATAGCTGACAGTAAATAGGTGACTGGTATGGAGAAACTCACCACTTTCTGGCTCCTTTTTCCAAACTGTGCATATGTGAGGGTAGGCAAATTCCAACTTTGAACTCAAGAACTCTGCCAGCTGTAAACTCAAGAACCTATGAACTCTATTTCTTTTTTTTCTCTGCACGGTTATAACGATGATTATAAAATAAATGATAGACATGTCTTAATATTTGTGGAGTTTTTTTTTCCCTTACCTGGAAGGGGGGCGGGGTCAGTTGTGCTTTCTCGCCATGATTACTTGACTGAACAAAGAACCTGAACATTTTTTTCTGGAATTTAGGTAACACTCAAGTTTTGAAAAAGTATTTCTGCACTGCTCTACTGTAAAGTCAAAAAATTGGGTTTTTTTTTAACTAAAAGATAATTTTATTCAAATATTGTTTATAAAGCATAACAAATATTTTAAAAATCTAGTTAAATGCAAATGCACAATTTTTCAGTAAAATGGGCATAGCTACAGAATAGCACAGGTCAGAAGCCTGTATGTGGTACATGGTAATAAATGCCATTGACATCTTTGGGATGTACTTTTAAGAAAAATATATAGGATCTGGCTTAAAGAAAGACCTGTATATCTGAAGGAGTGTCTCCTTCCCTATGTGCCTGCCTACCCCCTAAGATCTGGGTCAGAGGTTCTTTGGGAGCCCTCTTTGAAGGAGATTAGGAGAGTGGTTACCTGGAGAAGGGTCTTCTCTGCAGTGGCACCCCAGTTGTGGAACACACTCTAAAGGCAGGTTTGCCTGGTGCTGACACTTTATTCTTTTCAGCACCAGGCCAACCCCTTTTTATTTTCCCAAAATTTTAAGGTGTAATTGTTATTTTAATTGGGGTTTTATAGAGGGTGTGATGCTGTGCTTTGCTTTATTTTATTGTAAGACTGTCATGAGACTTTTTGTAATAGGATGGTATATAAAAGCTTAAATACATACATACGATCTTGGCACCAAAACTTTTAGACCTTCTCTTCATATTAAAAACCAAGAGAAATTCATGTCTTTACCATCACTAGAGGTTGCAAATGATATTAACTAGAGTTCAAAGTAATGCTTTGTAACATGTTGTTTAGAGTGACTTAATGTTTTTTCTTCTATTTTAAATTGACCAATGGTCTGCTTCTTTTGGCCTTTGCTGCATTGTAATATTGCAATTTTATCAGCCACATGGCTTGCTCTGCTAAGGTGGATGTTAACTTGGGGGAAATGCCACATTTGTTGGCCTTTATATGTTTGACTCTTAGGCTGTGTTCAGACATAATGACAATGCTAGAAATGGCTTCTTGTTACATGTGAATCCAACAAGCATAGTGAAGAGGGGTCAATTTTGTTACCATGAATAACCAACAATTTATTCTAAGGTTCTGCACTTCACAATTGCTTGTCATTATATGTGAATTCAACTGCAATATTTTTGCAGTTTCTGTGTTTCTGCCAACAAGTTTAGTGGCAGGAGTGGCTGCGGTGGCAGCAGACACTCCAGCCACCATGTTTCACTGGCCTGTTCTGCCTAGGAACTGCTGAATTGCTGGAAGCGGGGTGCTGATTTGCTGTCTCTGTGTGCCCAGTCTTGCTAGCTGGTTGAGAACATGCCCAGGTTAAGGGGTAGGCCAATGAGGGAGAGGTAGGTGGGGAAGCAGGAGTGGTGCATGCTGGGATTGGTTTACTACTATCTGAAAGAAGATCCTCTCTCTGATCATCACTGATGTCTCCTCCAAAGTTAAGTTCTCTGCCAAAAGTATTTTATTGCACGAATTTTGTTTATTACATTGATATTTCACCTTCTGAGACCGCTGAGTGGTATCAAGTCTCTCTTAACTTTTTTTATCTTCACAATAATTCTGTGAGATAAGTTAAACTGATAAATACAAATTTTATTATCAAAGGGAAATCAAACCCAGGTTTTTCCATTCATAATCTTTGGAAAGACTCGTTCTTAGAGAAATAAATTCATTCTGATTGCTCAAATGGAAACAGGGTAGAAATAAGCCATAATGGCCCTGCAGGTAAGGGAAGATAGGGCTGGACATATTCTCTGCCCCCCACTTTTTTTAAATTAACAATTTTTAAAAGTGCAGAAATTTGCCTTTAAAGGGCCTACAAACCAGATGAATTGTCCCCTTGCTTC